ACAGCAACGGAAATCCCGATGGGCAAGCACGAGCCAAGTGAGTAAGCGCATATTCGGCTCTTCCGGCTCGCTTGAAGCGAATCGGTGAGGCGAAACCAACACTTTTCAACAGCATACAAACCACCATCTCAACCATCACCATCACGCTCAGAATGGTAGCCGCTTCGACCTTGCGGGCCGCGGCGGCAAAGCCTACTGCCAAGCATGCCGCCGCCACGGCTGCTGGGCGGCTCATCGCGAAGGAGCACCTCGAGTCGCTCCTCATGCCAGCTGCCAAAGCATACTTGCTCGGCTATGTCATGGATATCCTACCAGCCATCCTCAAGGCCCTGATTCGATTCGTCACTGCCGAGCTCAAGCGCATTCGAGCCTCCGAGAAGCGGCTCTTGGAAGAACGCAAGGTGGCAAAGGAGTCTGGACAACCTCGACGCAAACCAGGATTGCTCGATGGTCTCAAGCCCATCTTGCCCAGCTTCTACCGTCTGCCGTCGCTGCTGCATGCCATCGCAAAGGCGTTGCTCGTGGCACTAGGCCCGAATGGGATGGCTCTCAGCTGTTTCCTTGCCATGGCGGGCTGGAGGATCTCCGAGACGCTCGTCTGGTGGCCCATTGCCAAGTACTATGCGCTCAAACTCGCCAACCCGGCTACGTCGTCCGAGGCTCAAACCATGACTGCGTTGCGACATGCGCGCGTGGCTTCCACCTTCGTCGCCTCCGCTCTCAGCTCAGCACTCGCCATGATGATGCTGCAGCACCAGAGCGAGGCCGCCATGGAAGCCAAGAAGGCCGCGGCGGCCGGCGCACCTCTGCTCACCATCGACACAACCCCCGGCTGGATCCCAAAGAGTCTGCGTCCTTCCAACCTCGGTTTTTTGAGCAGAAAGCTCAGCACGGGCGCTTCAGCACCTCGCATTGCCAGTCTCGCCCCTGCGGGTCATTTCCTCTCCAGACTCACCAGCCTCACTGTCCCTGGCTCACCATCGCCTTTCACCAGTGGAAACGCGGGCGTTAGCTCGGTCAGACCAACGAGTCCAGTGCCGAGATCACCGACCTCGCCCACAGCCACGCTTCAGCCCCTGCCTAGACTTTCGCATCCACCAGCCTCGCCGCAGCTCGATCAAGCACCGCAATCTTCCATTACTGTTGAGAAACCGCAAACACATAGAAAGCCAGCTCTTGGCAGGCCGAGTCCCACCATCGACCTCACCCTCTTCGCCCTGGTGCGAGGCATGGACACGCTCGTCCGCGCCCTTGCCGCTCCTGCTGCCGCCCGCAAAGATCGCCTGCGCGCCTCCACCTCTGCTCCCTCGGCCACCGCCCCGCGCTCCGGGGCGAGCAAGCTGCTCCGCCGCGTCGCACTGGGCATGGCAGATCAAGCCGAGGGCCTCGTCTTTGTCGTCTGCTGCGCCCAGATCATGTGGTCCTGGTTCTACCACCCCGAGCGTCTGCCTCCCACCTACGTCAAATGGATCACCAACCTCGCTACGATGGACGAGCGGCTCCTCGTCGCATTGCGCTGCATCCACTCGCGCGGCACGCCGCTCCGATGGGAATATCAGAGCAAAAAGATGACGCCCAATGGCGTCGGTCTTCTCGGCAGTCTCTCTGAAGCCCTTGGCCACCCTTACGAGTGGGGAGACCCCACGCGTCTACCCAATACCTCGGCCCAAGCGCGCGAGATGATCGCCACCGCCCGTGCCGCCGCCGCCGCCTCCGGTCACAAGCCCACCCACCCGCACGATGTACCCGGCTTCATCCTCAACGGTGCCGCCGGGCCGCGCGGGCGCGGTGAGATGGGCGGCATGCCCTGCGAGCTCGTCCACTGCGGCACCGGTGGCGCCTCGTGCTACCGCAACGCGCTCTACCGTTGGATCCGCGGTTTCCGAATGAGCATGGCCATCTACTTCCCCGTCCACCTCCTCCCGCGTCTCCTCTTCAATCCTAAAGGCTTCCTCGCCTCGCCCCTGCCCAACCTGCTCAAAGTCCTCACCGGCGCCGCGAGGTCAGCAGCGTTCCTGGCCACATACATCGTAGGCAACTGGTTCCCCATCTGTCTCGCGCGTACCGCCCTCCTCCCACGTCTGTTCCCCAACGTACCGTTCAACTTCTGGGACGCAGGTATCGGTCCGGCGATCGGCAGCGTCGCGTGCGGCTTCAGCATCTTTATCGAAGAAAAGCGCAAGCGGGCCGAGATGGCGCTCTACGTGGCCCCGAGGGCGTTGTTCGCGATGGTCGAGAGTGCGAGACCGGGCTGGTTGAGTCAGGGGGAGCAGACGGCGTTGTGGGCGGAACGAGCGACGTTTGGTGCAGCCGTGGGGACGGTGGTGTGCGCAGCAAGGTATAGGCCCGATCTGCTACGTGGGATTACGGCTGCCATGGGCTGGGTGGCTAGACCACCAGGTTTGCCCGCCAGCGGAAGGAACTATGCTAGAGATGCATAGAATTCAAGTTCACTTCTTGTCGCTGTGTCCCAAACCAAAGTCCGGGTTGACGTGATCGCGAATCTTCTGCTTGAGCACCTTCATCTCCGGAAACCCAGCTTGGACTTTTCGATCCCAAACCAACTGCAAGCCTGACCCCTGATTGGAGGATGCGTGAATCCAAACCCGGAATCGGCCACTGGAGGCATCGTCGACCTTGGGAATCAGCAGGACGCTGGCGATGCTCGCGCTGTTGCTGTTGGCCTGCTGGGCGGGGGGGATGGGGGCAAAGGTGCTCAGCAGCTCCTGTTGGATCCAGTTGGCGCGCAGACCGAACTTGCAGCGTTGACAGTACTGTTCCGGTGCAAGGAGGTGATCAGACCGAGAGCTTCACCGGCTTGCAACGCAACGCAGGAAGTGGGGACTTACTTCGAGAACGACGAGGGGTGTGGGCATGGCTGGAAGCGAACCCGACGGGAGAGGTGGGAGGAACGTCGATGGATCCATGAGGTCTTCTTGTGACGATGGGACGGCAGTGGCAGGCGCGGACGGGTACGCAGGATCAGGCTGACAGTCGATGCATGCCACCTCGTCGGTGGACGGCTCGCCGCTCATCTTTGCGGCTGGCGAGGTTGGTAAGGAATGGACTGGCGAGAAGGTTGGAGGTAAGAGCGCAAGGAAGGGCGATAAGAAGCACGTGAGTGGAGCATATTTTGGACCCCACTTTCGGCGCGCTTTTCCGCATCGCTGGTTCCAGCCACCTCAGATCGACACACACCCTTTCCGCTCTTCTACGGCTCAATCTTAGCTCGCTTGGCGACTGTGCAAATGCATATGATGACAATGAAACTCCTGCAATGACGGTACAAAGGGTGCAAATCCGCAAGCGGGGGGCGATCTATCCTCTAGGGATTAAGATTCAAGCGGACAAGTTCTTCTCGGGCAACGCTGGCGATAAGAGAGGATGTGAAGCGTCCGACTCGAGGTGAGCATCCGCCTCGGGCTGTTGCCATACGATCTGATCTCGCTCGACCATGGGAAGCAGCTCTGCATCGTATTTTGGATCCGAGAGATCCGTATAGCTGCCTTGCAAAGTCGAGTCCGAGGACGACGAGAGCAGGCTGTTGTGGCGGGGCGAGGAAAGGGGCAGGCTGACGGCTGCCTCTTGTGCTGCTGGCTTGGGGGTCGAAACCGAGAAGCGCTGGTAACAGACACTGGCGACGAGGATGACGGCGCTGCCCATCACCACCAACAGCACATCTCCCACGCCGCCGATCTTGGAGTCTTCCGGGAAGAGCATCGAGTTGAGCGCAAAGGTGAGGATGATCGAGACGGCGCTGGTGAGGTCGTTGACAATGACGCCCGCTTTTTTCAGCAGAAGCGCGATCATGATGCCATTAAAGGATTGGCAGAAGACGACGGCGAGTGGCCAGGGGGATCGGTGCAGATCACGCAGCACCGGCGTGAGGTCTTGCGGCTGGAAGATGGTGACGGCGGCGGCGGGGAGGATGGAGAAGACGCTCAGGTGGACGTTGGAGGCCCAGAGGTGGCACGTCCTATCCTGGTAGATAAACTCGAGGATGACACCCGCGACACTGCTCAGCAAAGCAGCAAAACACAATGCCATGATGGCCAACGCGTTGGGTTGCGATGCATGGGCCGCTGCGTCAGCGGGCGCATGATCGTGCCCTCCTGTAGCATACTTGACGAGCATGACACCGGCAAAGATGCCCACCAGGCAGCCCCACTGCTTGGCAACAATGGTACGCTTGAGCACAAAGCGGCTCAAGACCGCCGAGACGAGGATGCGAAACTGCCAGAGCGCCTGGAAAAAGGCAGGATCCAGCTCGCTTGCCGCAAAGAGATAGAGATTGTTCTGCACCACGTAGATGAGGGCGGGTGCCATGAGCCGGAATCCCTGAAGGACGAAGATTTGACCCAAGACTTGGTGGACCAACGTCCTTCTTTGGGGCTCGACCACCTCGGCTGCTTCGGGAGACGTGTCTTTGTCGAGCAAGCTGTCGGTCGATTCGTTGGGATGGGCACCGAGCGGGGTGTATTGGGTCGATTCGAAGCGGTCTGAGAGCCGCTTTTCGTACATAGCCTTTGTGAGAAGGCAGGTCGAGACAACGACCTTGATGCATTCGCAGAGAAGAACGGTGAGCGAGGGTGAATAGGCAGCATGACGAGAGGCTTGATGAAAGACGATACCGGTGCCCGACTTGAGACTGCTGATGGCCGCGATGAGCGGCGTCAGGGTTCGGTCCATGTTGCAGGTTTTGCGCGCTGGTCCGATCGCAAGAGCTCCAAGATATGGGCAGAGAAGGGATGATGGTCAGATGGAGGAGAAGCAGACAGAATCGAACAAGGAGGACAGGCAGGCAGCGGTGTTGCTCACGGGGAGTAGACGTCTCTCGCAGTATAGACCCCGACCAAGGACAGAGGGAGCCACAGCTAGGGTCTCACTTTCGCTCCTCGTGCTCGGTTGACGGTTGCGATGTGCAAAATAATGGGAGCAGAGGCAGGCTTGCAAACCACCTCGACGCGGGACGCTCGATGCCAACGGCAAGGCAAAGCCATTTCATGGCCATGGTCTACCCAAAACAGACGCAGAGCCGAGTGCGTGGCCGAGACAGTGCAGCTCGCAAGCCGTGAATTCAACTACAGATCGGCCACACGGCTGATAATCAAAATTTGAAAATCACCAGCACGCGGGACTGTGCCCTGCATCTCGGGGTTTTGACCCACTTTGCTCAGTAGTACAATCGACAGACTGTCCGGAAACGGGTGTGATCATCCTCGGACTAACTAAGTCGAAGGAATTCTTTCATTTACAGTCATTGTTGTCTTGGACCCTTTCCACCCTTTCTTTCGGGTTTCTGGGTCATTTTAAATACATTTCGATTTCGTATGAGTAAGTAAATCACCGAGTCAGTTGGCTGGAACGGCAAGAGCGCTGGCTCAAGTCGGGCACTGTACTCAAGATTTCTGAGTTCGACCCGCCAGAATGGTTCGTCGAGATCAAAGCGGCAAGTGTGGATGTCATAGTAAATATAGGCGATGGTTTCAGTCGTGTCCTATGATGTGGGCTAGCTCCAGCATCTGCCTGTACGCATACACGGTCAGATCTATGTTTCGCAGCGCCTGGGCCGCCCACAGTCTCGACGCTTGCGCCAGCTCCTCCCCCAAAACCTTGCCCTGCTCGTGGTTAGCAAAATAGTCGATGAGCATCGGCAGCTCCTCCAAGCCCATAGACACGGGCACGTAATGCAGCCAGGGTATCAGGCGGTCGTCGTGCCATTCCACGTAGACAGTCTGTTTGAACACCAGACTGTTGCTGTCCAGAAGCCGGTAGAAGCGGCACGACATGGAATTGCCGTCGAGGTCCATGACAAACTTGTTGCCAAACGCCGCCGTGGGGGGCAACCCGGCTACCGTGGGGAAGAGCTCCATCCACTCCCGGCAGAAGGTCGTCGAGTTGGGTTTCTCGGAGCAGGGGCGAACCTGGTTAAAGTTGATGTCAAAGGTGCTCGATGTGAGACGCGACAGCGCGTCCAGCTGAACTGGCGTGAAGGATTGAGGCATGCCGGGCAACGATAGACGCTGCGCATCGTCCGGGGTTACGGACGCGTTGAGCGAGACCAGGCTTGCGGCCTTGCGGTTCATCTGACGAGCAGCCATTACGAGACGGTGTCGGTGGTTGAGCCAGCCCAAATCGTTGCCATCTTGATTCCAGCCCGTGTTGCTGCCACGCCAATAGAGATGAGGCTTCTTGTCCGCATAAGCGATCTTATCCACCCAGGGACCAGTAAGTCGATAATTCCCATTCCCGTAGCACCACGAGGCGGTGGTGATGTCCTGGAAGCTCGACGGCTTGGTGAGCGAAAGCACAGGCACGGTGGCGTTGATACATGCGTTTCGGTTGTGCAGAATGCCATGCTTGGCCATCCAGTCGTCGGCCTGAGTGCACATATCGATGCTGGGACGGTCGCTGGAGACGTACGACGTGGTGGCGGTCGATCGTGGGCAGCCGTACATCAGATGGGCTTTGGCGTCGGGTCGATCTCCCGTCGTCGTGATCTTGACCACATTGGGATCGTTGACGTCCTCCTTGCCGTTCCGGGGCCCACAATTGCGCTGTGAGTCATCCCAATTCTGGAGCACTGTGAAAGGCGGCAGATAGGGTAGGATAGGCTCCAAAAGCTTTCGCATCTCTCGAGCCATACCGATATTCTCCGGCGCCGTGGTGGTCACATTTCCGTTGGCAAAGGTCCAAGTGTACATGTACGAGAGCTCCAACTTCGTTGCTGCCGTGACGCGCTGCCGCAGAATGTGAGGTGGGATGCGGCGGAGGGGCAGGAGGTCGGCTTCGAGCTGACCGTAATCGTCGATGATCGTGACATTGTTCTGCTGTGCGTAGGCAAACCAGGCGTCGAATCCGGGCGGCGGGGTTCGGTGGTATTGCGCCACGTAACGGTCGTGCGCCTGTTGGTAGGTCTTGGATTGCGATGAGACAAGGTGGTCGAATTTGCGTCGTGCTAAAGTAATGTGACACGGGATGGCATCTACCCCTCCTGCCAAGACGGATGCGCACTGACTGTCGTCCAGCGGTCCAATAGGGTGCAAGTGAGCGCCGGAGCCGGCGAACAAGGCGGATAGACCAACACCGAGGAGGAAGAGGAGGCAGACGATCTTCCGCGGGGTGGTGAAGCGAGATGTTCGGCTGGGATGCAATGTCGTTGGGTCGACTCCGTCTTCTGTGGGAGCAAGTTGGTAGTGGTGCCGACCCGCCGTGATTTTGAAGAGGCCGGATGCCCAATGCGAAGCTTGAGCTTGAGCTTCCGAGTGTGGCTTGTACGACTCGACGTCGAAGCTGGACCGAGAGGCCATGTCGGCCAGCGGAACGTGTTCGCTCGGCATTGGCACTGACTTGTCCATGGAGACGCGCAGTGACAGCGTCACCATAATGCAAGCATGGCGTGGTGGATCGCAAACAAGCAGCAAGAGGAGCAACGCACAACACGATCGAGAACACTAGGGCAAGTAAGAATTCGCCTGAGCTGGTTTCTTCCGGTAATCCGCAACCCGAACGCGTTGCCCGAGGCTGGACCCTGTCGAAGATGGAGGAGCAACGACAGAGCGCTGCCTGCACACGCGTTAAGTTAGAGGAGACAGGTGTGAGAGTCGGCCGGTCTCGGTTTCAGCTGTGCAAGGGGCAAGAGCCTGCTCGAGAGCATCATCAAGAACAGCCTGCCATTCGGAAACAAGTCAACTCACTTGACAAGACTACTCAGACCTGCGATTGCCTTGTATGGTGCATGCGAATGGCGTAGCAGTGATCTTGTACGAATGGCACACTCTCGAGGCTGCAAATCGCCTACGCAATAGGTCTAACATTCTGTGCAGCAGCGGAAGCAGGTTTCGTTGCAGTCTCAGCGTCCTACCTGTGACTGGCCACCAAGGTCAGCGGAATCCATTGCGAGGAGGATCATCAGGCGCGGGACGGGTCGTCAAGCAGAGGCGACATGATGATATGCACACAGCAAGGAGATGTGCAGAGTAATTCGAACCGAGTCAAGGTGCCGGCGATCCTGGCCCAGCAGCGGTCGAGAGACCTCTAACGTCAAACTTCGTCGGTGTCGACAAACTCCCTCGCATCGTCCCCAATGACATCCGACTGGCCGGCCTCATCCTCCTCCGCCGTCACCAGGCCGTACTCGAGGTGCCCCTTGATCGTACCATCCCAGAACGTTCTGTGGTCTCTGAGCAGCATCTTCTTGAATGTGCGGATGAACGAATTCCATTTGATCGCCTCTTCGTACTCCTGCGCCACCTTCTTGCCCGCGCTCAGGCACTCTGCTGCCGCGTCGTACTTCTCCTCGCCCACCAGATGGTAGAGGGTGGACTCGAGGGAGTTGATCGCGGAGGTGACGTCGTCCTTCTCGACCAGCTCGTGTAGATGCTTGACCGGGTCAGAGAGTCGGAGGAGATGTTGCTTGGACGAGGAGGCTGCAGGCTGCTGGGATGGTGGCTCGATCTTGGCGGTCGCAGCAGCATCGCCTTCGTCTTCGGTGACGTCCGAGTCCTCGTCGAGTACAATGCGCCTCTTTTGCGCTTCTTCTGGTGGGGCAGCTTCATATCTGGCGACCTTCCTCGCCTCTCCATCCTCTGCGGCTGTCGCTGCTGGGGCAGAGGATGCAGAGGCTCGAGGTCGCTCCCTCGCATCTTCTTGCATCGCGTTGAGAGTGCGCTTCTTTCGATCGGCATTACCCTTGGGTGGTACGTAGGCGATCTTGAATCGGTCGCGGCACTCTTGTGCTGCTGCTGTTGCAGCCTTCCTAACATCGTAAGGTGCTTCGAGGAACTTGACCAGTTCTGGATGCGGACCAGGGAGATCCTTGGTTTCCGGATGGACGAATCGGTGGCGAACGGCGGTCTTCAAGCCGTGGATGGCGGGATTGTACGAATCCAGTACGTCGAACCAACCGTCCGGCAATTCGAGGCTGTCAACAAAAGCATCCATGCTCTGCTGATCTGCGTCGTCCGGGATGGTCGGCCCTTGGCGAAGCTCGATTCCTTCTGTAGTGATGATCCTGTCGAGCGGCGGGAAGGGAAACCTGCGCAGATCCTCTCGGAAAGGTGCTTTCGAATAGAAAAGGTACTCGTTGTGCGTTTCCACCTGTGGTTTGAGGATACCCAGCTCCGGCTCGGCGCCATCTTTCCTGACAAACCTGACCACGGCCAGCACATCCATCTCCGCCATGGCCCTGATGAGCGTCGAAAGTTGCAGCTGTGCCTTGACCTGGGCATGATCGGCAAAGACATACCAGATCTGATCCATGTTGTACTCCCTCCTGTAGGCGGCAGCAGTGAAGAAGTGAAGAACCTCCATGCTCTTGCGCGTCTCCATGACGCCAAAATTCTCGTCGGGGACCGGGATGAGACTGGCGCCGAGCTTCCATGCCCTCGTGAAGCTTTCATCGGACTCGGGCGGCAGCGGTTCCGGCTCCTTGCTGGAGTTTGCGACGGCAGAGAGCTGGTCGAGGAGGAAGTATTCTCTCTTGAGATCGGCACGATAGACAACGGGGGACTCGGGAAGCTCCTCCTTCTTCAGCGCTACGGGGGTGGAGGTAGGGTTGAGATGGTGGCGACGTGCTTCCTCTCGTTCGCGCTCCCTTGCAGCGCCTGCGCTCTCTCGTGCCAGCTTGGAGATCTTGGCCTGGGTCATAGGTCGAGCTGGGTCGGTCATCTTGTACAGACCAATGGGGATCTGGAATGATCCATTGGAAGCTAAGTCTTCCGGATCGCCAAAGCTGAGCACGGTCTTTGAGGGAGCCGGTCTTGTGACTTGGACGTTTGGCATAGTGGACTGGGCGATCGCCGAGGCAGCCGTCGCGAATCCAGCATTGGGAATGGTCGCGAGGAACTTTTGCCAGAAGCGCTCGTTCTTGAGTTTGATCTTGGTTTTGCCTTCGAGCTTGAGGCCAGACTCGGGATCGTCGAAGTCAACTCCCAGAAGACGCAACGCGATATTCTCCTCTTCAAACTTTCTGCCGATCGAGTCCGAGCCGTCCAGAGTGAATTCGGATTGACCGTCTGTGACGAGATAGATTGTGCGCTTCCAGGTGGTCTTCTGTGAAGGCTTGATGCCGCCCTTTTGTGGATCAGACGATAGCTGCACTGCGTCGACGAGCGCAGCCAGAGGGTCTGCGACGCGCGACTGTTGGTCAGGATGCACTGCGCGAAGACTCTGGACGAGATCCAACGTGTCGAGCGTGGGAAGCGCGGGCCAGAAGATCTCATCGATGCCTTCGTAGTCGGGATTGTTAGGGATAGAGTTGTGGGTGCGTGGCGAACCGTAAGCGATGATACCGACGCGAGTAGTTTTGAGACCGCGCAGAATGATCTCAGCTATGCGTGCAGAGACGAATTCGCAGATCCATTGCAGATGCGTGGTGGACCGAGTGCGTCGTTCGACGGTCTGGTTCTCGGTGACAATGGATTCCTCGACTTGGCGGGTCTCGCCCATGCGGGAGGAGATGTCGAGGACGAAGAGGGTGATGGTGTTGGATTCGACACTCATGTTGCGATGTGTTCAGGAATGACCATGACCAGGGGTATATGCAGACGAGCTGAGAGCTGGTAATGATGAAGGAACGGAGCGAGGGAGGAAGGAAGACCTCGAGGTGTTGGTTCTGTCGATTCCGACTCAGCTCGAATTTGTTGCTGCGCAGCCAACGCGTAAAGGTCTCCACCAAAAAGTCACTCGAGTCCAACACTTTTCTGAGACGCCTCGGCAGCACCTGCTCCCTTATCACTCGCTCACTGGTACAGCAGCACACACCGACTTGGCCGAGACGAAAGCATCCTTTCTTATGGAGACGTGACGGATGTGTTCTATGGAGACGTGACGGATGTGTTCGAATGGTCTGTAGTTTCTCGATGACATGATCTGATACTAATACTTGGCGAGACCAAGCGCATTGACAGCTTCCTTGATCTGCTCCTTTTCCTCTTTCTGTGCACGTAGAAGGCAAGAGCGTGTCAGACGGAAGATCCTGGCATTTGAGGCAATGACTACTCACGATCAGCCCAGAGATGGCCTTGAACTTGGGATGAGACGCATCGACAAGCAACTGGAATAGAATGGACTCGGAGGTGGTGATCTTTGCGCCAGAGTCGCGCAGCCTCTCGAGAGCAACGTCGATCTCGCCAACATTGCAGCTGGATACGCCGTCCTTGATTACGTGTACCTGAATGCCTTTGTCGAGCAGGTCGAGGGTGGTCTGGAGCACACAGACATGCGACTCGATGCCAAAGATGACGACGTGCTGAATGTTGCCTGCGCTCTTGAGCCACTTGTCGGTGATGTCGGGGAGGTCCATGCTGAACCTGGTCTTGGGATGAATAGCTTTCGTCGATACTTCCGGGAGGTCTTTGAGCAGGTCGCTCAAGGGTGCGACGGTAGCGCCGAGCGCTGAATCATGAAGATCAGAGTCAAGGATACGGGTTTGAGTCAGTCACAACATCATCGGCGATTGCGCGAAGGGCAAAGGCAGCAACTGACCTTTCGGGTTCTGCTCTGTGGTAAAGACAGGGACATCGAGGATCTTGGCCGCCTTGAGCATGCGAGCCGAGGTGTTGGTGATGAGGTCAAAGTTGGCGATGGCGGTCTTGAACCTCTCTTGCATGTCGCAGAGGAAGAAGGCGGTCTTGGGAAGCTCGATGCGAGCGGTTCTGAAAGCTGCGCTTGCCATGTTGCTTTGAGACGGTCGATAGGAGATAGTGTACTGATCCGGGCGAGCTGTAGAGGAGAAGGGAAGGAGCAACGGCATTGAAACAAGCTCATGTCCCAGCCAAAAAGTGCGGGGAAAGAGCTTGCTCCGTGCGCTGGGTGGAGGATTTCCCTTCCGAACAAGGCCGAACCGGAACGCTGCCAAGCTCAAATTTTGTCCAGGATGTGCATGTACAAGGTCTCACACTCACTGGGGATTTGTAGTGTTGATTGACGGGCAAGCAAGAAGCCTTGAACAGGGTCCAACATGAAGCCCATCTGGAATTTGAGCTGATCCCTGCAGCGGAGACGCCGGAGCAGGCAGGCACAACAACAGAGGCGTCGCGTCACGCTGAGCGAGAAGAAAACGCGCGACGTGCGGCATGCGAGGCATCACTTTCGTCTGCTTCAACAGCATAGGCGAACAAGTGTGGCGTGAGAAAGAATTTGCAAAGGAATCGTGCCGTGATCCGTCGGCAAGAGAAGTGGCTGCAAGCAACGGACCAACCGAACAGGATGTGATCGGAAAGAGCGAGCAACTGAATCCGGCGCGGCCGAGTGGCTGCACTGCGCCGGTGTGTGGTCTTCATGTGATTGTATCGAAGCAGCAAGGTGGCAATAGCTGCGTGAGTCAAGTTGCGAGCCACAGCGCCGGCACATCCGTCGTGGCATCGCCAACCGAGCTCAGACACTGTCTGGGAGGCCAAGTGCGTGATCAACTTTGATCAGGAGACAGAACTGAGCCGGGATCTTGCCGACATTATGAGCGCCCATCAAGCATCGAGGCCGACTCTGAGCAGCGAAGGGCAGAGGGTCATGGCCATGGCAGCGTCTACCACTCTCTCTCTCGCGCTGGGTAGCTTTGTCACCACGCGGGTGAATGCGAGCGGGCGAGTCTCGAGTCGACATTTGTGCTGTTGTGGGTGTGGGTGTTTTTGTTCTGAGCTTTGATTTCTAAAATCACACGAGGAGCGGGGCTTGCTCCTTGGCCAACTTACTTGCTTCCACCTTGCATTCGACCATCATCCTCCGCCACTGTCCGCTTGCTTTGCTGGGGCCTTTCCTCTCCCAAGTAAAGGCTCGCTCCGCATTGGGACCAGCATCCTTGTTGGCCATCCTGGAATCAACGCCATCACCTCCAACTATTCATCTCGCATGTCGAAGCTGACCGCATTACGCTAGTTACACCAAGCTCGCCTCACCTCCAACTTCAGACCAGTGAGTTGCAGGAACTTGCAGCCATGATCGTCGTCAACATTCCCGTGGACGGCAACGTCTCGCTCCCGCCAGAGCCTCGTCCACGAATGTCCTTGGACAACACAGCGGTGGAATCGTCATCCTCTTCCTCGTCCGGATCCAGCACGCCTTTGTCTGGTCAAGGATCTTCGCGTCGACTTTCACGCCGTGTACAGAGTATGGCTGTTGCCAATCTCTTGCGCGACGATACACCAAAGCCTAGCAGCACCAACTCGCCACAGACCACCGCGAGTGCCGGCTCTACTTCCGACCTCAAAGCGCTCAAGTATGACTTGCCCAGCGATATTGCCGTGCCACCCTTTGCTCAGCCGTCCAAAGATGTAGATCGTGACCTGGCTCGCCTCTATGAAGCCGTGTCCGGTGCACGCCGCATCGCTGTCATCTGCGGCGCAGGGATCTCGGTCTCTTCGCCAGCAAACATCCCCGACTTCCGATCAGCACACGGTCTATTCAAGAAGCTCAAGGAGAAGCATCCTACCGCAGGGCTCTCTTCTGGCAAAGACCTCTTCGACGCTCGTCTGTTCAGCTCCGAGTCCACGTCCGCTCTCTTCTACTCAATGGTAGCCGAGCTCAAGAGGCTCGCCGACGAAGCAGAACCCACCATCTTTCATCGCTTCCTTAAGCGTCTCGATGACGAGGGTCGGCTCCAGCGTGTCTACACCCAAAACATCGATGGCCTCGAGGAGAAAGCCGGCCTCACCTTTGGGCTCGGCGAAGCTGGCGACTCCACCACCACAGTCCGCGCATTGGGAAAGCGCAAGAGGCTCGGGACTTCCGCCTTCTCGCGCTCCAAGTCCGATTCGCATCTCATCTTCGCTCAAAAGGAGCAGGAGCGAGAGGAGCAAAAGGAGCTCGCGCGACGACCCATGTTTCCTCGAACCATTCCGCTCCATGGAACCCTCCAGACGCTCACTTGCGCTCTGTGCAATCACAAGCTCATGCTTGGCAACACGGTCCACCACAGAGCCGACTATCGAGACATGTCACCTTCCTCGCGCGAAGGATCTGCCTCTTTGGGCCACGAGGAAAGCAAGCACGCCATCGAGCTGCTTCAGAATGGCGAGGCTGTCCCTTGCCCGCGGTGCGAGACTGCCGACGAAGTGCGTACCTCCAACGGCATGCGGTCGCGAGGTGTGGGCAGGATGAAGGTCGACATTGTCCTCTATGGGGGCCAGAACGAAGGCGCGGAGCGCGTCGGTCAATGTCTTCAACGCGACATTCTCGGCCTCAGGGACCCCAACGAGCCACCTGTACCTGAGTCGGCCGCCGAGACGCGCGCTCGCGAGCGCAAAGAGGCGAAGGAAGCGGCCAAGCTTCAGCTTGAAATGCATCAGCGAAAGGAGCTGGCATTGGTCAAAGACGAGGAAGATCGGGCCAACGCAGACATGAGTGCCGACTCGGAGGGTGCGGTCGATTCTCAGCTTGGGGCCTTCCTATCTACTACAGACTCGAAGGATGACATCCTGTCGCGCGCCTTTGCTGAGGAAGGTGACGACGCCGGTCCATCGATTCTGTCTTCTCAGCCTGCTACAGCTGCAGGCAGAAGCATCAGCAACAGCATCGCAGAGCCCGTCATGTCACCAAAGAAGAAAGCAACACGACCTCCCAGGCTGAAACCGCTGCCTCCGGATCTTCTCATCGTCGCCGGCACCAGTCTCAAAGTACCAGGCACCAAACGGATCGTCCGGGAGTTTGCCAAGGCCTGTCATGCCCAGGACGAGTGGCTCATCTACTCGTCAGAGGACGAAGACGAGAGCAGCACTGCCGAAGACGGCGCTGACAAGAAGCGAGCCAAGGACTCGAAAGCAGCACGCGACAAGCTCGGAAAGATCGGTCGCAGCGGCTCTGCCGATCCTCAAGACGAAGAAAACGAGGACGAGGAGCCCGAAATTCACGATCCCACCTGCCCCATCCGCACCATCTTGTTCAACTACGACTTTCCCAACCCGGCTCGCGAGTGGGAAGACGTCTTTGACGTGTGGATCCAGGGCGATCTTCAACGTGCAGCACTCTCGCTCTTCCCCACCAAGAAGGTCGACGACGCAGCTCCCGCGGAAGCAAGGGCCATCGAGCAGATCGTCGGCAGCCACACGTGGGCCAAGTTCAGAGACTATCTGGAGGAGCAGCGCAAGCTCGCAAAGAGGGAAAAGAAGAAGGCCGCCGTAGCTGTGACCACGGTCAACTTGGGCTCGAGGAAGGGCAAGCTGGGAAGGACCGTGTCGGCTGCAGCCAAGATGGAACGGGCCGGGTCGGCATCTGACCAAGGTTCGACAACGGGCCTTGTTGCAAGTTCGCAGACGGAGTCTTGGAAGGCAGCGGCGAAAGCGAAGGCGGCCAAGGCTCGAAGCAGGTCCGAGTCGCCGGTGAAGAAGCGCCCCGCCACCATCAAAGACGAAGGCGCTCTAGATGGCCCGAAGCGCAACGCACTTGTCGCCAAGGGCACCGGTTTGAAACGCAGCAACAGCAAGTCCAAAAACCCGTTCCTCTCCGGGTCCACCGTCTCCGTCGATATTCCGACCATCACGGAGGAGGACGAGGAGAGACCCGGAAGGCCGCAGGGAAAAGCAAGTGACGGTGGCACCCCACGCAAGAGGAAGACGGAGCAGCCGCCATCGTCCCGAAGCATGGCTGCTCCTCCGACCAAACGTGGCTTGTCGCGCAGCATCACCTTGCCCGAAACGCAGCCGATGGTCCTGGTGGAGAACGCGCTCGTTCAGAACCGAAGCAAGACGGAGCGAAGTGTCGAAAGGATCGGATCGGCGGTGAAGCCCTCGCACGTCTATGGCAAGAGCAGGCAGAGGGGCAGCTCGATGAGTGGGGCGGCGATCAAGGCGGTCCCAACAGCGAGGAGAGCAAGCTGGACGAGAACACCTAGCGAGTCCGCAGCATGGAGCTGAGCATGCAATGCGAGTGATTGGTCCTGGTTTCAACGATGCAGTACGTGTGTGATGAGCATGAGGAAGACCACTCAGCTTACGAAAGAGCCACTCAAGCCAAGGCGTCGTAGGGCTCGAGATGAATCTGATGCCACGCGGTGTGTGAACATAGTATGCGATGACATGATAAAAAGGAGGCTAGAATACAAGGAGAGACAAGCAATTACCATGGCGGTTTCAGGGGCTGGACCGTAGAGAGCTTCGGAAGGGCAGCTCGCTCATTTGGATGAGCGCTGCAGACTCGTATCCCTTTTCGTCGTCCTTTTGGAGATTGGCGGTGCGGAAGTAGCCTGCTGGCTGATGTGGCGGAGGGGTGGCCACGGGTGACGAAGCAGAGGAGGATGCCGACAAAGACCGGACTGGCGAAGCGGGAGAGTGGATGGCTACGTCGATACTTTGGCGCAGAGCATGGTCCAGGGTGGATGGCGGGCGACTCTCTCGGGGTTTCGGCAGTGCTTCTATCAATCGGTTGTACGAGACGCTGCAGGCAAGGATGACGGCGCTGCCGACAATGACCAGCATGACATCCGAGACGCCGCCAATGGTGCTCGAGGCCGGGAAGAGCATCTCGTTGAGGGCGAAAGTGAGCACGATCGAAACAGCCGAGGTGAGATCGTTAATAAGCACCCCGGCCTTCTTGAGCAGAATCGCAATGACCATGCCGTTGAACGATTGACAAAGGATGGCTCCGGTCGGCCAGAGACTGGCATGAAGGTCGTGGTAGACTGCCGCCTTGTTGGAGGAATTGCCAAAGATGAAAATGCTGGCGGCGGGAAGTATCGAGAAGCAGGAAAGCTGAACGTTGGATGCCCACAGATTGACCTTGCGATCGCGAAAGATGTACTCGAGAAAGACACCGGCTGTGGAACTCAAGAGTGCCGCCACGCACAGAGCGATCGACGCTGAGAGCGTTGCTCCGGCATCCACTCGGCTTGGCTGCTGCGAAACGCGCGGGGCCGAGGTGGCCGCTTTGACGAGCATGACGCCGCCAAAGATGCCGAGAATGCAGAGCCATTGCAGCGGGAGGATGCGCTTCTTGAGCACCGTGCACGTGAGCAGAGCGCTCATCAGGATGCGCATCTGCCACAACGCCTGGAAGTAGGCAGGATCGAGCACCGAGGCTGCGTACAAGTAGAGGTTGTTTTGAACCACGTAGATCAGGGCGGGCACGATCAGCCGGAGTCCTTGCATCTGGAAGATCTGCGATAAGACGTGCTGCATGAGCGTAGGCGGAACCCGCAGATGGTCGTCCAGACTACTCTCTAGCAAAGAAGGACTGCGGTGGGTCGCTGACGCTCCATCGTTGTTGCTCGTAAATCGAGACTTGTCTTTGACTTCTGTATCCGGCGCCTCGAGATCGTCGGCTCGTACCGGCAGATAGCCTTGCCCAGTCTGGCTTAGCGTCGAGGCGGACAGGTTTCCGGTCCTCTCTTGATGCAGCGCTCGAGTGAGGAGTGCAAACGAGGCAAAAAGCTTGATGGTCTCGCAGAGCGCTACCGTCAGCGATGGCGAGTATGCTGCGTGCTTGGACGCCTGATTGAACACGATCCCTGTGCTCGACTTGAGCCCGCTGGCCGCAAGGATCAGAGGCGTGAGCGAGCCAAACATGATCGATAGCTTGGTAGATGAGACCGCAGATGAAGGAGTGGAAGAGACAAGCGGCGTACGAATCACCAACACATATCGAAAGCCCACTGCAGAGAGCTCGAACAGAAACGGCTGATGGTCAACGGCAAGCTTGGCTCCCGGAGCGAATCCAGGACGGGATTGACAGAAGAGCCAGCGGACATGCAACCACACAGTCTTGAGTAATCTTGCTCGATCTGCGAGGCTGCAGGGTCCATCGAGTGTTCCGACAAGATAAGCATCGCGCCGCTACCTTAGCAGCTCAGTCCAGGTGGAGAGCTCGCGCAAAGGGTCCGGGATGAGAGCATTGGCAGCAGCACGGGCACGAAAATGTCAGACTGAAACGCCACTCCTTGTTGATGGCCGAAGGATTGCGTCGACCGAGGTACAAGTCGACCCGTCCCGGTCAAGCGACGGGTCAAGCGACGGCAAAGAAGGGTCCCTAGGCATCAAGACTCCAGCTTGATTCTTGGGAGTGATTCGCAACTGCAGTAATGCACCAACAAGATTCGAGAATGGCCCAGACGGTCTCAGGTCGATCCCGTGTGAACGGCTACCTTAGTGCTCGGCTGGCGTTCTGGGTAGCCCTCTTGTGCGGGTTTTTCGAGTGAAAAAGAAAAGAAAAGAGAGAAAAAACATTATCCATGCATGCAGCTCGGGACGACTGGGTGGCTTGGGAAGAGGAGAGCGAGATGCAGGCACGCAGGCACGGGAATGAAACGTAGCCACGCGGCTTTTCATCTTTCAAGGGTCGTGCCAGCGCGACTGTCAGACGCGGGATCACTGGCTGGAAAAATATATTGTGAAATTCCGACCGCCTCGGTGTCGATCTTTTTTTTTGTTTTTCAGACGCGCTCAAGCTCTTGTCGGTGTTGCGTCTGAAGCTCGGCAGGAAATGGCGATAAGATTCTGTCACTACTCGGCATGCAGTTCGGAACACTGTATCCTGTCTGACACGTTCCGCTGCGATGCAGTCAAGTTTCAACGCTCAGCCTTCGCATGTTGTGAGTGTTCTTTGATCGTGAGCTTACAACAAAAGCTAGCCCTTGTTCCTTCCGTCCACCATCATCTTGTTCACCATCTCTTCCTCCATTGGTTCGCAAACCAGGAGGCTTCAAGCTCGCAACATGGTCAGACGGCTTCTGACCACGCTCGCATGCGCAGCCTTTGCTCTCGGCACGACCATGGCTTCTCCTGCTTCGCGGTCTTCATCTGACCTCAAGCACGTCTTGCTTCGAGAGTCCGAGGGTTATCACGATGAGGTGTACGCAGCTTTCCTCTCCGATCTCGGAGCATCTCCATACATCAAAACCACCTTCTCGCAGCATTATTCGCGCTGGGGCATGCCCGAGATCACCAGCTCCTTTCCCTTCATCAACCCGCTCACTACGCAGGGATTCAACCACACCAACAGCCGGGAGTTCGAAATCACGCCTCAGGCCATCATCGAAAACAAAGTCGACGCCATCCTCTCGGTCAGCTGCGATTACGATGTGGACAAGCGAACGGCGGAATGGCAACGTCTCTTCCACGAGACCGATGTGCAGCTGCTCTGTGTCTACCACGACCCGGGAGGACACTCGGGCCCCGGCAAGTACTACGACAGCTTGACCAAGCTCTGGATCGACGCGGACCGAATCACCTTCCTTGTGCTCAGCGAGCACGTCGGCAAATGGCTTCAAGACGATATGACCAAGCGCGGTTCCAAGCCTATCCACTGGGAAGTCTACATTCCGGTCTTCGAGCTTCCCCAGGGGATTCGCACCGAGCGGGCCGAAGACAAGCACAAGAGCTTTGTCATTCAGGGCAACTTCGAAAGCGGTCGACGCGACTACAATGCCGTCTTTCAGCGCTTCGGCGAAGGCCTCGCAAGCTTGCCTGCGGGAACGTCCAAGGCTGAAAAGCCCGGGCTGGTGCTGATCGGTTCCGGGAAACCGCTCAAGATCCCCGCCAACTTGGCCGACAATGTCGACATGCATATGAACCTCGAGTATCCGGCGTTCTACAAGACGTTGGGGCAGTCGAGTGTGTTGCTGCCCGCGTTTGCCTCGCCGCTGTACTTCATCAAGAAGGCCTCGTCCACCATCAACGCAGCCATCATTGGCGGCACCATCATCATTGGCGATCAGAAGATGCTGGACGCGTATACGTTCCTGGACGAGGAGATTGTCTTCAAGACGCTGCCAGGAGAGTCCGACGTGCAAGCAGCGATGCGCTACTTGGCGCTGGACAAGGCGACGCGCAACCGAAAGCTCACCTACATCCGCGGCTACCGAGCTCGGATCATCCAGCAAAACCGCGCTCTGCTCAACGAGCTCGTCAATCCGGCTGCTGTGGCCGCCGACCATCACGGCGTGCTTGGAGACTACCTCCACGCCGCCAAAAGCGTGCCGGCGGAACACCCGAGCTCGACGGCATCTGCGTTCGTCTTTCTCATTGGTATCGCCCTGGCTTTCATCTTCCGAAGGACCCTCGTCACCCAAGTGCGACAGCTGATGGATCGACTCTCCACAAACAAGAGGGACTACCTCCCGGTTGGCAGTCATTCCACCGACATGCGCTCCAAGTAGATTGATCCGCCCCCTTTTTTTGATATTGCCCTCGTCGAATTCGCAATTGTAACGTCCTGCAAACAGAACTCAGATATGATCCGCACATTTGTAAGCGTGACAAATGGGTGTGAGAGAAAGCCCGCGGAAGAACGACGCGAGGCGTTCTCAAAGTGCGCCGTGTACAGGGCAATATTGGGTGCGGATGGGCAGCGCGCGGGAAGGATTTTTTCCGCACTTGGTTGTTCTCAAAACGGCAACACGGGATCGACACGGGAAGATCTTGCTCGACGCATGGGAAAATTTCGCCTTTTTTTCAATTTCGCTTGCAGTTTTTGACAGATAAGGTCCCGCGTCGATCCCGTCTCTGGTCGCGCTCAGACAGGCTCAGCTTTTTCGCACAGTCCAATCGATCACACGCGGAACAAATGCGATGAAACCCGTTTGCAGAAAGAGAAAGAGAACCGCTCTACACGAAAGAGAAGGGTAGCAACGACAAGAATGAACAGCGACTGGAGGTCAGTTGCCAGGAGGGGTTGCAACAGCTGAGGATCAGCGTCGCGAATCAACGTGTAAGATCAGGAGTGATCGAACGAGATCGGAAGGAAGAGAGGGATGATGACGAGGAGAGAGCCGCAAGGTGGACCGTTTAAGCACGGCACTTGGAAATCTTGGTGCGCCTGTTGTACCTGCAATTACCGCTCTCGCAGGTGGCGGCCGAGTTGCAGGTGCGGCCGTTGGCGCGCTTGGGGCGGCAGGCCTTCTTCCAGCAGAAGTTGGAGTTGCACTCGCTGTTGTTGAAGCATGCAGAGCCATCCTTGTTGAGACCCTGAGAAGAGCACTTGCCGTCGACGCAGATGTTGTTGATGCAACCCTGGTTCTTGTAGCAAGCAGCTCCACCGCCCTGCTGAGGCTTGCAGGTGCGGTTACCGCAGAAGTAGCCGGGACGGCAGTCGGTCGACTGGGAGCAAGCTGCACCGGCGGGGACGGTCTTGGGCTCGGCACACCTCTTGTTGACACACGAGCCCGACAGGCAGCCGTTGTCCTTGTAGCAGTTCTGACCAGCCTGCTTGACAGTCTCACAGCTGCCACGGTAGCAGTAGTAGTTGGACGCGCACTGGTTGTCGCCCGTGCAGTAGAAGCCGGGCTGGCCTTCGCCCTTGTTGGGCACACACTTGCCGGCGCTGGTGTCGCACATGTAGCCTTCGGCACAGTCGCCGTCGGCCTTGCAGCCGGCACCAGCAGTCTGGGTGGGAGCAGCGGTCCTGGTGGTGGTGGTGGGGACGGCGGTAGCGCCCTCCTGACGACGCTGGTAGTTGTAGAGGGAAGGGGCGATGTTCTCGAACACCTCGCGGTCGACAAGGTGGGCCGAAGCGGGCTGAGCCACCTGGAGCGCCACAACGGCGGCGGCAGCGAAGATGAGAGCCGAACGGATAGAGGCACGCATGTCGAAAAGTAGAGGTAGCTACCTTGGCTAAACGAGGCGGGAGGGTTGGGGGATGGGGTAGGGAGTGAAGAAGGAAATGAAGGGGAGAGAACGGATGCTTGAGGTGGGAAACAATAGGGAAGGACCGTCAGCTGATAGACAAGCGCCCTATATATGCTGCCAGCGGCTTGGGTCAGCGAGGAAAGGGAAGAGCACAGTCGAGGAGGGGCGAGATTTCCCATGGGCCTGACCAGAGGCGGACCGTTTCAGGGACGAGAGCTACTGAGACTGCGTTTCGTCGGCGCTTGATTCGTGAGAACTATCGAGGGATAAACACCGTCATGGGATAAGACACTGAGCGAAAGCGGCCTGCCGTGGCAATGTCCCTTCCACTGGCATCTTGGAAGTTGGACCTTGTTTTGACATGTGGTGCAGAGAGTCTGGACGGCAAAACGTGGGCCCAGAGCTGGTCCCAAGCCACAGGCACCTCATGCCATCGCGACCGAAAAGGTGGCCCGGCACGTCGCCACGGGAGCCTTGCTGCGCAGTGAAAGCAGTAGGACGAAGGATCGACAGGCTGCCCAGATGCGCTCCACCGGCGAGCTTGCCGGGTCTCGGCGGCAAAACCTTCCCATCAGGGACGAGGGTCAGGCGAAAGTAGAGTTAGCCAGACGATGAGAACTGCGTTGAAGATTCTCCTGCAGAAGGGTTTCGGATTTGATCAACGACAGGACAGTGACGACTCTTGGCAGTCGTCGGTACGTGAAGCGGAGATGGGTGGCTTGCCGCGTTATCGCATGAAGAGGCTTTTGCGGCACGTCAGGCACAAAAGGGACAGGGTACCGGTGCGGGTCGACGGGTGGCCCGGTGGGATCATTGTGTGGATTCGTATCGACGTGCAGCAGCAGGCAACCACGGGAGACTTATGCACTCTCGCTTACCCATAGGAAGATTAATTAATGCACTTGAGCTGCGGCCCGGGACTGTCTGGCGTGTGTCGATCGCTGTCATGAAAGCAGCAACGCGGAGATTGAAGGACTTTCAAAGAGCGACGCTGCAGTTTTCATCGAAGAAAATCTTCTTGTTTTGACATTAGCGCGAATCAGAACCGAGTAAGGCCTCCGTGGTGGTGCAATCACCGAAACGCGTTCTCGCCTGATGAGCGTGAGCCAGATGTCATCTCATCTATGAAGGACAGCCTTCGATGCTCTGTTCAAGGCAACTGGACGATGTCAGGGGTAGAAGGGCACAGTGCCAAGGCCGAGATGGACGAGCCTGGACCGTGGTAGCGGTTCAGGGCAACCTAATGCACGAGGACGGGACCCTTGCTTGCCAGCCACCCTTTCTTGCTCGCGTGGGAATTTGAGGCTTGGGACTCGACTTGATGCACCCTGGATTTCCCTGAATTTATCCTAGGGTTTGCCTGTCAACACGGTTGCTGCTGAGCCCCTTTCCTAAAGCAGAAGCAGACCCTAATCTTTGACAGATCTCGGCGGTCCCTCAAACGGGACGGAGTAGAGTGTCAAGTCGGCCGGCACAGCTCCGCGTAAGCGTCGGCGAAAAACTGTGCGCAAAGGCCGATGAACGCTGAGCTGCGAACATGTTTTGCGACATTGCCAAGAGCAAGGACTCGAAAAGTTTCGTCGTCATTCCCCATCTGGCGACATACAGTAGACTGAGTCATGTTGGTCGAGGTGCTTGCAGCTCGACGATCGACAATCAAAGAGGTGGGGCGCCAGTGGCCACCGTTGGACGGGCTATGACGGCCTTATCGCGTTTCGAGTGCAAGGGTCAGAGAATCTGATCAGCACTCCCCCGAGACACCGCCGAGATCGATAGAGCCACCGGAAACGGCTTGACAAGATCCATGGGCCGAAACCTCGCACCGCCAAAAACACGGGCAAGAGTCCTCTTCCTGTGGCGTCTGCTTGACTCGCTTGATCGACACGCTTGCCTCGTGGCCGTCTTACTGAATCAGCCACAGTGTGTGAGAGGGGCTCCAAGATATGTGGCTCGGCTCGGTCAAGGATCGACCTCGCCTTACCGCTATCGGGAAAAATCGACATTGGGCTTGACGAGGGTTGCGATTGGCTGCACCCTGTCAATCATGAAGCAATTTAGATGGATGCTCGACTGCAAAGCTGCAAGCCCCCTCGGTCAAAACGGTCCGACCCGAATCTGGAAATTCTTCCAGCTGGGATTGAACCTTGGAAGCAGAGAGATACAAGAGAAAGGGAATTTGATTCGTGCTGGCCTTGTACTAACTCATTGCATTGGTCACGATCGATCTCCTTTGCATTTACTGCGAGCCCCTGCAGGGTGCCTGGGTCCGGATCTTTAAACATGTTTGCAAGTGGAAGCGAGGTCAACGTGGTAGCAGACGAGCTCTGAAGCTCAGGACGCTTGAGCGACCAGATCTGCACGTTGACGCTTTGACGGTTCAGCTGTCTCAGGAAGCCTCCCGTGTTTGAAATCATGCGTACATCGACGTGACTGGCGAGGATTCCCTGTTGTGCTGAAACTTTGCTGCGGTTGCACTGACTTCCAATGCTATTATTGTGAGCCCGTCCGAGACACGTGAACAGTGCACAATGGCAAGCGACTTGTCAGGCCAGCGAGATGCGGCCCTGCTGATGCACGACGATGCGCTTCATTGTCGACACAACAAAGTAGACCTGTCACCAGGCGCTTGGGCGCCTACGACAAGTTGCCGGCCTTGTTCCTTTTCATCGCTGTGTTTTGATACTGAACGGCATCTGCTTTTTCATCTGCTCAATCGTACTTTCTCGGAGGCTATCAGTGATTTGTGCATGCTCGGAGACAACAAATTTCTTCCTTCGCAACGGTCGGACCATAAAGTTGGACATGGTAAGGGGACTGACTGAGTTTGATGGTGGTTTAGACGTCCACGGACCGAGAGACCTTTCCGGTAGCCACATTCTCGGAACGGTCGAAGCCATTGAAGCGCTTCGGAGCCTGACACTGCTTGTTGCATGTGGACATCTTCTTCTCTCGACGTTCTTCGATTGCTCGTCAGGTCCGAGAGTGTGCAGCTTTGTCGCCTTGGGAGCCCTGAACGCCGTCCAAACTTCTGGAAGAAGCTGACCCTGAATCGTGAGAGATTTCGGTCCAGGCTTCCCCCCGCTTGACCCACCATGTCGGCTCCAACAATGCCGACCACGAGCACGAGCACGAGCAGAACGCCACCACTCAAAGGCGGATAAATCTCGTCGCATTCCGGCGACCGGTGAGATCGCATGCAGGCAAGGCCGTTCTTCTGTTCAGATTGATCGACATCCAGTCGCCCTGGTGAGGCCTGACCAAGTGACCTTAATCGAACACTCACGACTGTTATGGAACACTTTGCCGGTTCTGTTCCGCAAATCCCGTCGATCGGGTCCAAACGCCACCCAAGAGAACAATGGTTCGAAAGATTGGTGAAGGAAGCGGCGGCTGCGGTGAACCTATGCGACTCGCTCGGGAGCGGAACGTGGAACGTGAGCAACCAAGCCAATCTCAAGGGGGTTCCTCGATGATTCAGCATTGTCGTACGAACAAATGCATCTGGCATACGTCGCACGTGGTCCAGCTGGAGTCAGAGCGCGCAGCGACAGCTGTCTTCGACGCAGGGATCCTCGAAGTCGAACGCGAACAGCAACACGCGCCTTCAAAGGTTTTGGCTGACTTCTACCTTTCTGCTCACGTGCGCGATGGCTCTGCTTCCATAGAGTCGATGGAGTTGACCCAGCGATCATTGCCGACCCCTGAGAACCACGTACGCGGGTGGGCTACGCTGGCGGCGACCACTGTCTTGACATCTCATGGCAGCGGACGAAACCGAGGGGTGGTCTTGCCTGGCTGCTGATCAATCAGAATGCGAAAATTGGCATGGCAAGAGCATCATTGTGACTGATTCCAGCTGAGGCCAGAAGCAGTGACGAGCGACTTGATGGCCAGCGAGAGCTTCCTTGAAGCACACCTGCAACTTACGGCTCAAAGAGTTGCGGGGGGCCGTAGACTACGCAGCCATTGCGGTCGACCAGATCCAGTTCGGGAAAATTGCGTCGTCGCGACGAAAGTGGTGTAGATTGCAGGTGGACAGGGGCCTCGAGTTCTTGGTCACGGGCCTAACAGCTACCAGCCCCACCCTGGCCTCTGGAATTGATTGACGATGCTCTGATCCGTCCTGACCATGCCTCCCGTCCCAATCGCCCTTACCCTCTTTCTCGCCGTTGCGATCTTCTCCGTCTCCTTCTCAGCGTACGTCTTTCCATACCTCAACACGACGCTCAACCTCGCCTGGGGATGATGCTTCCTGCCCATCCTCGCTCTGCCCTTGATATCCGTCCTTGTGAGGTAGATTCCCTTGCCGACCCAGGCCTCGCTAACAATCAAGCGGGGAACCTGCATCCCTTTTGCTTCTGCGTGGTCTCTGGCCAACGCCAGCGTGCTCAGCACGCGCTTGGCGGCGCGCTTGGGGCTGAACTGCATCTGCAAAATCGCATAGTCGATCGGCTGGCCGCTGATCTGGTTGGCAAGCATCTGCAGTTTGCGCGGTGAGATCTTGAACGCTGCGGTCGAGTACTTGTGTTCCAGCGCCTCGCCGGTCTGCGGGTCCTTGGCGTTGAAGCGCTTGCGCAGTTGGCGCGCTTCGATGCGCGCCGAGATGCGCTGCTGCTTGCGCTCGGCCTGCTGCGAGATGGGTAGCGACTCAACGTCGTCGAACAGAGGCATGCCGTCCGGCGACACCGAGGCCATGGCCGAATCCCGCTTTCGCTCCGTCTCGAGTCGAGCCTGCTCTTCCGGCAGCACTCCTCCTCGTCTGCGCGACTCGGTAAAGTTGTCTCCCAGCGCAACCTTGGCGAGGCGGTCCCTGATGTTGGTCAGGAAGGAGTCACGTGGGGAAGAAGACGATACGTTCCGCTGTAGGATCTTGACGGGCGTCAGTGCCGAAGTGGAAGCCTGGGTGCGTGCAGATTGAGTGGATGAGCGCAGAAGCTGCCTCGCCGCTCTCCCGGCGGTGCTCGATGCCGACATTCTGGAAGCACCCGTGCGAGTTTTCTTGGGGTCTGCTCTTCGATGTCCGAACGTCCTAGATATGCTATATGCGAGCGCGCGTGCGGTAGTCTTGATCGAGACGGGGACGATGACGATGACGAGGTCGATGGAAGGTGTAAATGTGCGTTTCTGCAAAAAGTCGATTCTTCTCAACTGAAAAAGGCGGTGTCACGTGCCTGCCCGATTAAGTCTCGATCTACCCTAACTGCCTATCTGCCGATGTAACACTGCAGGAAAACCTTAGAGCTGCAAGGGTCCACGGACCCTCGCTCGCACAGCCCGTCATCTTGGCATTCAGACCAGATCAACGCGCTGCTTCCCTTCTGCATCATGTCCCGCCGCCACTTGTTGTCACTTCGAGTACAGCACACGGCAACAACATTAAAGATGGGCTCGTGCATGTCAACAACCAAGACCTTTCAAGGCGAAGGGCGCACCCTGAACGAGCCGCCATCTACCCGCCCAGCCACGGCCGTCGACGCCGGAGCCGGCCGACGACTCGGCAGCAGTAGCAGCACAGCTCCGACATCGAGTCACGCCCCTCCAGCCAGCAGCACCAGTGACGCGGATCGAGAGGCGAGGGCAAGAGCGGCCGAACAGAGGATGAAGCAGCAGGCTGCCAAGGGCGCACCGACGCAGGGCAAGTTGAGTCGACAGCTGCAGGAACAGCAGGCGACCAACCCGCTCGACCCCAAGAACCGACAAGAGGAACCTCAGAGAGTCGTCGTAAGTTGCAAGCAGTGCAAAAAGTTTCCAGTGAAGTGAGTGACGATTGCTGACACGCCCGCTCTTTTGCGTCTCTGCTGGTCGTCTTGTTTCACAGTTTGATTGAGGTCACCTTTCACCTTCACCTGCCGAGATGTCACCTGTCCCTTTATACCCCTCCTGTACGCTTCAGTCTACAGTTTACAGTCGCGCATCACCCGCGCCACAAAATCCGAGTGTACCATGCTGTATGATTGAGAAATGTGCCTGTGATGAAATGCTATGAGGAAACGACGATATCTATGCTACGAGAAGAGGAGAAGAGGTTGTGAATCTATGTAAGAGTTGGCCCGAGGAAGCGGAGATCATCCCGGTCGTGTGCCTTGTCCATGCTTAAGTTCCGTTATTCTGAGATAGGTGTAAAGCGCGAAGTCATCCATGAAGTGTCCGGTGCAATCAGAAGCTGAACAGGCCAGCACCGTTTCGGATCTTGTTGCCGCCGAGCACGTACGACAGCACCGTGCTTGCAAACAGGCCCACAGTCAGACCCAACGCCACCTCGACCAGCGACTGAGCCACCGTGAAGCCTGAAGAGAAGGCCGATGTGGAATCCGAGTTGTTGGCAAAGTTCAACAGTCCGCCACCATTGGAGAGACCCGAGGGAAGCTGGTACAAGATACCAGGCACCGACACGACGAAGCTTCGACCATCAAAGAAGCGTCCGTACAGGTTCGCCATGACGCCCACCGCCAGCGAACCTAACGCGGCGGTGACATCCTGACGCCTCGAGAGAGCTGTGGTCTTGGCCGAGAAGTGATTGCAGGCCCAACCACCACAAGCGATGAGCACCATGACGGGGAACTCCTTGCGCGTGATCTTGGCCTGATTGCGCAACGAGAGACAGATGGTGAATGCCGGTGCAGTGAGGATCGCCCAAATCTCGGGGACGTCCCTCTGCCACCACACGTCGCTGTTGCGCACGCAATTGTTGAAGCCTTGCGTGCTCGTGTTGCTCGAGAAGAGCTGCCAGAAGGAGACGCCGATCGAGATTCCGAATCCGAGGAAGAGCGAGTAAATGATCGCGTACACTAAGCGCACCGACCCTGCTATCAAGTTCTTGGACTGCAGCTCGAGCGAGCCACTGAGCACGATGAAGCCGGGCAAGATGAGCACGATCGAGCCGGAGACCACGGCAGAGTAGCAAAAGTAGCCCGAACTCTGCACGGCTGCAGCGACGAACGAGTTGAGCGTGGCAAAGACGATTTCAAACACGTTGCTGTACAGCTCAGTGGTGATGATCGACTGGCAGTAGACCAAGAAGGCTCCCAGCGGGAACGCCATGACCGCATCGATAAAGCTTCCATTGAAACCCTGCGGGCCGAGGCAGATGAACGCGGAAGCAAAGCCACCGATGACGACCATTGGCCATCGACCGATCAGCGGCTTGCGTCTCATCAGCTCGTCCAGCTGTGCAGAAGCCTCCTCGACTCCGATCTTGTCGTGGATGACGTTCCAATAGATTGTGTGCATGTCGGTTAGCTTGGTCAGGTCGAGTCCGGACGCCTGCTTGATGAACTTGGTCTCGGACGTGTGGGTCGTGTCGTCACCAAAGGCGAGCAGCATGAGGTTGGGCAGGTAGATGCATCGACAGTTGATCTCGAGCACCCGTCCCGTCTGCTGAATCTGCGTCTCGATGCGATGAGTGGGAGCACCGAACATCATGAGCGCACGCGCGAGCTTCATGATGAACTGCTGACGCTGCAAGATGGCGGCGACGTGCATGGTGATGAAGATCTCTTCTTTGCGCTTCTTGTCCTTGGCGCGCTTCCTAAGCTTTCGTTGCCACTCTTGCTTGTGATAGTCCGAGTGCATCTTTTCGGCTTCGGGTCCAAAGTAGTCTGGGCCCAGGCCAGCATTGGCGTCCGGCGTGTTGACATTCGAATGGGTCCAGTGACGCGACATGGCGCCGGGCAGCAAGTGGTGTCTCTTGCGAGCGCCAGTGCCGTCAGCCGAGCTACCACCGGTCATGGTGCGCGAAGGGAAGTGCATGATGGAGCTCGGTCGCTTCTTATGTGGTGTTGTGTAGCCAGATGCGATGGGCGAGTTGGCCTGGGTCGAGCTGTCGCGGCGTTCGCCGTCCGGACTGGTCGGCAGCGAACGCGAACGCGAGGCGAGGGGACTGCCAAGGTTGCTCGGTCGGTAAGGTGCGGGCGCCGCATCGGCGACGATCTGTGCCGTACGCTTGAGCGTTTTGGCGGTCATCTCGGGCAAGAGGTAGCGATCGAGCGAATAGCCAGGACGCTTGGGATTGGGTCCGAGCTGAGCGTGCTGCGGCGAGACGGCTCCGATAAGATTGCCGGTGGTGGCCACGAGGGCACCAAAGACACCTGCATCGCTTCGGGCGGCCTTGGGACGCTCATCGAGCGCACTGTCGATGCCGGTCTCGGTGGCGACGCCACGCACCACCTTGCTCGAGGTGTTGAGGGCCACGTTGCCGACCTTGGCGAAGGTCTGTGTGAGCTTGGGGCTGGGCAAGCTGATGGACTGCATCGACATGCCCCTGCGCTTCTCGTATCGATCTAATTTGCGCTGGAAACCGGGTGAGTCGAGCTTGGCTTGAATCTGCTCTGGCGTTTCGTTGAAACGGTGTTCGCCGTCCCCGTCCATGTTATATTCGCTTGCGCTGGCGACGGAGCTGGTGGCAGCGCTTTTCGCCTCGCGCTGCTGCTGCTCGTAGAGACGCAGCAAGTTGCCAAGCACGCCGCCGGATGTAACGGGCCTAGCATCGAGATTCATGGCGGTCTCCATGGGGTCCGGGGTGGACGCGCCCGTGTCGGGAAGATGGGCACGACCGATGCGGTTGAGAGCGTCCTGTCGCTCCTGAGTGAGCTTGTGCTGACGAACGAGGCGCACAGCTTCCCGTTCGAACTTGGTTGGTTTGCGACGCGGACCATCGCCTGTGTGAAGGCCGCTGGACGTCTCGACGGGAACGGCTTTCTTGTTGGTGGGCCCACCTTGGTCGTGGGAGGCAGCAGATGGGCCGACCTCGCCCTTTTCTTCCTGATCTTCTTCATCGACAGGTGGCTTTCCGAAGATGCCGCGGAGCTTTGCCCAGCCTTTAGGCTGCTGATCGGCTGCTGGCTCATCCTTGCGCTTCTTGATACGGGTGGGCATGCCATCCGTCTCGCCAGGAATGAGGTCAATGTACTCGAGATCCGAGTCGTTGGCAGGATCATAGCTGCTCTCGGTGGTGGCAGACCCTGGAGTGGTGGCACCACTTAAGTCGCCGAAGCTGCCGGGCGTCTCGTTCCCGCCGACACCTCTAGATCGCTGTCGCCGCCGCCTTTCTTCGCGATCGCGCTCGCGATCCATAAAGACCTGGGCGAGACGATCTCTGCCGGAGGGGTCAGCATCTGGTTGCGCCTCTTGCCAGCTGGGATGGCTAGCTGTTTCGTCGTTGCGAGCCTCGTGACGACGAAGCTCGCGCTGCAGCTCGAGGAAAGCACGATTGTCGAGGCCTTGTTCGTCAAGACCCTTTGCGCCGGTGAGAGAGAGGGAAGGGATGGTGGCCGCCTGCGCGGCTGGTGCATCATTGGAAGCGTCTTTGGGCGGCGGTGAGCCAGTCGATGGAGCTTCATTTTGAGGAGTGAGGCGCTCTGCGATATTGAGCGGACCAGGATGATGGTTTCTGCGAACGGATCCGAGGGTGAGGCCGTTTGCTTTGTCAGGTCGAGCCTCGGGCGGAGCGGCACCTCGAACGGTCACGGTGGGACCTGCGAGGGCTCCACCCGCTCGGATCTGAAGCTGACCGCCCCTTCGGAAACTAGCGGCATTTGAGGTGCCATCCCAGTGCACACGTCCAGCACGACGTCCGGCAGTCGATGGTGGTTCGTTGGGAACCGTGGTGGAGATAGAAACATTCGACGGAGCCAGCTGGGTGGGAGCGTCTTCGGAGCTGTTGAGCGTGTCATCGGCGTCGGTATCCTCGATACGGATCTGTGGATCTGGCGGGCGTGCTGATCCACTGTGATGCTGCTCGTTCTCTCCCGAACCTGTGGGCAGCGTGGAGGAGTCTGCGGTGGAGGACGAGGAGACGGTGTAGTCGCGCTCGTGAACGCTGTTGTGTGTGTCTGACATGATTGCGAGATGTCCGTCAGAGTCGAATCAGTCTCGAAAGGTTACCAGCCATGCGCGATCAACAGCAGCGCTGAGTGTCACTGCGACGTGATCAGGAAGCTGAGTTGGTTCTGGTCGAGCTGAGTGTTCGGTAGATCAAGGTGGTGAAATAGACGAAGCAATTGGAACACAGCCTTGCGAGCCGAGTCTATGCGTCTATGCGGCGATGTTGATGGCTTGCTGCAGGCTGATTGACGTTGAAGCGACAAGGTGATCGTCAGCAAGAGATCAGGTGACCTTGGATGGTGCAATCGGATGTTCCTTCAAATATCGCAAGCGGTTCGGGGGCTGAAGTCGGATTAGCCGTGAAAGTGACTGAGCAAGCGGATGAGCGAGCTGCAAGGAGGGTGTGATAGAGTCAAGTGGGTGATTCTGAGAGAGGCGTGAGGGTGGGTTATGAAGGGTGGGTGTGATTCTGAGAGAGGCGTGAGGGTGGGTTATGAAGGGTGGGTGTGATGGTGACGAGCGACGAATGGATCCTTGTTCGGGGTTCAGGATAGCGAGCAAAACGTCAATAGATGATTTGCGTCAGATTTGGCGGCGGCTGCTTCGGCACCAGACTGGCGGCTTCGGCTTGACTCTGTCTATGCTTGTGAAATTCAAAGGCACGTACTTCGGTTTCAAGTTGCCGATCCACAGCAACAAAAGCGAGTCAAAATTTAGGCGTCAGGCGACGATCCTTTTCAAACCCAACCTGAGATCGACGCTGCTGACGGTGAGAGAGGTCCATGCTACTATACGCGCTAACGCTAGAAAATGCTCACGCTTTGCAAGTCAACGCCATTTCCAGCATCGTGTGCCTCTTTTCTCATGCACGACCGCACAAGAGACGCCGTTATCGCCGCTAGGAGTGGGTTGATACAGTGGGCTTATCTGTCAAAGCAGGCGCAGCGCCACAAAGACACAAGGTCCGAATTATGCCCGCAGCCGTACGCACCCTTGCGTCTGCCTCGGCCAAAGGAAGTGTGACTTTAAGGCACACAACAACGTCACCGCGCACCATGTTTGCGAAAAGCACACGTTCAACACGCCTTGCCTTCAGTCGTCGGTCGCGCGCTCTCTCTCTCCCGTCCTTTGCCTTCCATCGATCGTCGTGGCTCGAAGGAAGCAGCCGCACGCTCTCGTCATGTGTCTCTTCCGCACATGTTGCTGTGCAGCATGCGCCTTGGTTGCTGTGCAGCGTGGGCCTTGGTTTGTCGCTTTCGAGAGAGATGATCGGCATACGCACAGGGCTCGAACGGAAGATCAGCTCCGGCCCGTTCGCTCGGCTTGCAGGCTTGGCGCTCCAAAGTTTTGCTCCTCGGCGACTTAAATTAACCTCCACTCAGACTTATCGGGAGATCCACAAATTGTAAGATTGGGATGTCAGCCATTTTCGTTCCTGTGACTCTAACAGCTGTGTGGAATTTTAAGGCAGCTGCCTGTGTCAAATCCGGCGGTAATTCGGTCTCTGACAATTGAGGAAATTTGTCGAAAAAGTCTTGTTCGCTTGCTCCGCTAAAAAGCCGATCGTAATTGAGGCCACTTTAATCCTGGTCCAAGCGAAGAAGGTTGTCAGCCAACTCGATGGTCTGAGTTGCAAGGTGATCGGCCCGATATCTCTCCTGCTTGGAAGCGTGAGCCGTCAGTGACCTTGAGCCTGCCATGACGTTGTCTCGCACAAGACGTCAAATTCGGCTATTGACCGGCGACTCTGCTTCCTCGCTCCCTCACCCGCGCCTCACCGGGCAGAACGCCGCCGCGCCTTGAGCCCCACGGCTATCCAAGCAGATGTGAAAACCAGCCGTGTTTGCCGTGCGCTCTTCCCGCAGCGGCAAATGAGCTAGGCATGAACGCCAAAGTGAGAAGAACACGGCGCTGACATTGATGCGGCGCTACGCGGCTGTGGAGAGCAAAAGTTTCGGTTGCCTCAGCAAGCCACCGTGCCCGTTGTGGAGTGAGACGGCGACGAGACCGTATAAGTACCCCGCACCTCAAGCTATCTCGACCGCATGCACCACACCACAAACACCCTTCATTCAAGATGTCAGGCAACAGCAACACAGCCCTCACCCTCGGCGAGTCAGCTCGTCCCGTCAAGCCACGCGTCGTCGTGACCGGCGGCTCTGGCAAGCTCGGCCGTGCCACCGTCGCCCACCTCTCCTCGTCCGGCTACGAGGTCATCAACTTTGACCGCGTCCGACCCAAGACCGCCTCAGAGGATGGCAAGACCGGTCTTCAGGGCGCCTACCGTCTCGTCGAAGTCGATCTCAGTGATATGGGCCAGGTACTCGAGGCGCTCATGGAAATTGACATGGCCTACAAAAAGGTGGATGCCGTCGTCCATCTCGCCGCCATGCCCTCTCCAGGCCAAAGCAGCTCGAGCAAACAGTTCAACACCAACGTCTCGAGCACCTACAACGTCCTCGAGGCGTGCAGGAAGCTCGGCATCACCAACATCGTTATGGCCAGCAGCGAAACGCTGATCGGCATCCCGCTCGACATCAAGCCCGCCAAGCTGCCCATCACCGAGGAGTCGCCCCTGTTGCCAGAGAGCGCCTACTCGCTCTCCAAGCTCGTCGGCGAGACGCTTGCCGATCAATACGTGCGCTGGTCCCGACAGAGCCACCGCAACCCCACCGGTGGCGAGATCAAGATCGTCTCGATGCGATTCAGCAACGTGATGCTCGAGGAGGAGTACGCTACCTTTGCCGGCTGGCAGGACGACGCCCGCAAGCGCTACTGGAACTGCTGGGGCTACATCGACGCCCGAGACGGCGCTGAGGCTATCAAGCTCGCTCTGGAGAACAAGACGCTCAAAGGCCACGAGGCGTTTATCATCGCCAACAACAACACCGTCATGAAGAGGCCCAGCAAGGAGCTCGTCGAGGAGGTCTTCCCCGGTGTGCCCTACACGCCCTTGAACGACGACCCCAACGTGACGGTCTTGTCCAACGAGAAGGCCAAGCGCGTGCTGGGTTGGGAGCCGAAGTACGATTATAAGCCCTGAGAAAGGCGCATTGAGGTGGAGATCGCGTTTTCACATCAATAGATCTCACGATAACAGCACAAGTGATCAGGTCACACCACAAGCGATTCGGCATGTGCGGGTTCAAAGTGAAGAGAGTTGCGTTGCGAGTTCCATTGCTGTGTGGGGTGTCGGGAGGGGGAGGTACAGAATTTCTTGAATGTGAGATCGCACAGTTGAGACGCGCGAATTTATCTTTGCGCCGCCATCTCAGAGTCGGTAAGCGTCCATCGCGGCGCCCATTCGCGAGGTCTGGCCGGCCGTGAAGCCCGTCATGCATCCTGTTTCGCAAACGAAGAGAAGTGTCAGTGTCTGTGTCTTCTATGGTGATCCTGGGGGGAAGATTGAACCGACGGTCATATGAGTAATCCATGTAGTTGTTGACGCTGTCGGGGCCGCCGCCGGAGCAGGAGTCCTGGCCCGAGGGGCAACCGTTGGTGGCGGTCGACTGAGGGGGAGTGTCGTTGACAAAGTCGCCGTTGCCCGAGCAGCCGCCCTGGAAGACGTGGTAGAGACCAGCCCAGTGGCCGACCTCGTGGACAAGCGTCTTGCCCTGGTTGTAGTTGTTGATCGAGCCGCCGGGGTACGAGGTGTACTGAAGGCAGACACCGTCGTTCTGCGGGTTGCCGCTGTATGACCACGGGAAGGTGGCGTATCCAAGGAGACCACCAGAGAAGTTGACAGTGTAGACGTTGAGGGCGTTGGCACCACCCTTCCTGAGGGCGGCCTTCATAGCCTTCTCGGCCGAGGTGCCCTGGTTGACGTTGTTGAACCAGTTCGAGTTGACGGTGGTCTCGCTGCCGGCGAGGTAAAACGAGAGGCCGGTGCCAGAGTAGCCGTTGTTGAGGGCTGAGATCGAGTTGCTGATGATGGTGTCCGAGAGACGGCCGTTGGTGCCGTCGGTGATGACGTGGTAGTAGACGGGGATGCGGGCCGAGGTGAAGGCAGCGTCGCTGGCGCTGGTGTCGTTCGAGTAGGGGACGCCGGAGGATCGCGAGCTGTCGCCGCGCAGGGCGCTCAGGGCGGCGATCTTGAGGCCGAGAGCCTGCTCGATGGCCTGCGAGGCAACGTTGGTGCTACCACAGATGCGGGACGAGGGAGCGGCGAGGGCGGCAGGCGCGGCGATAGCCAAGGTAGCGCCAACGAAGGCAGCGAGAGACCTGAACTGCATCTTGAAGGTGGGTCTAAGGGGGCTTGGACACGCAAGGGTGCTCTACAGAGGGGAGGGGGTTTCCAAAGGTGAGTTTAGCGAAGAAAGAGGAGACGGGATTGAGATGAGGAAGGAGGACCAAGTTGATGCTGAATGGGATGATCTTATAGCCACACCCGCTTGCGTTCGAAGCTCACTAACAGGACGCTTGATGTCTGGCGACACACATGCGGTTTCTCTGTTTGGCAGACACTCGTGTCTTCTCCTTGTATGCATTCATGGCTCTGCACGGTGTTGCGACTGGTCCTCGTTGCAGCTTCAGCACTAGCGAGACGACACGGCGAACAGTCTTCCGTTTGGATCATGCAAGAGACAGCTCGGCAAGATGCCTTTCCCACGCACAGGGTGCATTCTTCCAGATTGAGTCTGAGCAGCCGTGCAAGACAAAGGAAAGCCGTGGCAGCGCTTCGGCGCGGACCTGCTCCGCTTGCCGCCACACTTGTTCCATAGGAACACCTTTTTCTCGAGCTTATCGGTGTATGCGTTTGATGTCGTGCGCCTTGATATCCACTAGCGTGGATCCAGCTGCACGAGGGATCGGCTGGACCCCACCCGCACCCGCTGACAGCGCTTCGTCAGAAGAACAGCACTGCGTGGGTCAGAGGCCGACGTCTCGGTTGGAGGATTTGGAACCCTTGGCGGGATCACGCTTGTCCGAGCTTGTTTCAGTCGGCAAAACGAGCGACTGCCACGAGTCGAGATCATAAGCGAACGGAGGAGGCCGAAACGACTCAGGAGCCCTTCCTGTTCTTCTAGCGAGGTTGAACGATGGGGTGAAGAACGACATCACAGCAGCAGAGACAGGTGACTCTCACGGACGCCTTTGCTCCGATGATCATGCAGTCTTGGAAGTGGCTTCATGCCGACGGGACAATGGGCGTAGGGGTGTCAAGTGGCAGCAAATCAGAGGCGTCAAAGATAACCTTCGACTTGTGGCGGAGGTTAACAAGAGATGTGCGGGGCAGCAACAGCTCAGGCGCGGATCAAGGGTCTGCTTCCAGACCGGAGGACTGTTCGACTTTGCCCACGCAGACGCCGCTAGGCAGTCTCAGTTCGCCTCTCGCATACATTCGAAGCGGTGGGTGTAAGTGTATGCGCTCAGTCTTTGCTAACCGTCGGAAGTGTCACTTTGGCAGAGAGCGGTTGGATGCGTTCATGCAAGGCTGCACTGTTTGACTGCAGAGAGAAAAGGCTTGGCAATTTCCATCTTGTCAAAGCGAGGAAAGCCAAGCCTTTTAGCGTCGGATGTTGCTCATCCAATCTGCTTCGCTTAGATTCCTGCATGCAGCTGGCAACGAAGAGGTGCTATCTTTGGAGAGTCCTGCTCTGAGCTGCCGTCTAGGGTCGGTGGCGAGCCTTGCTCGGCGGGAGTACCTCCGACGTGAACCTTGTTCGCCCAAGCGAAGTCCTCGTTGCCTTCTCATTCGAAATCCGAGAACCGGTCAAGTATAGCCGTCGTGGGAGGTGAACTGTTGCTCAAAATTGCAAGCGAGAGTTCTTCTGATGCCAGCTCTGAAGTCTGCTGCCCTATCAGCACGTGTCAGATCGAGTCAGGATGTGGACGAAAGCGAACCGAGTGGATCGCTGTCTGGTCTCAAAAAGTTACCCGATTTGGCTTCAGTACCAATAAGAGCAAGGCTCATAAAGCGGTGGATGGAAGTGAGGGGCTTTGCACTGCCGTTGGCAGCCCGATATCTGATACAGCACCAACACGGACTGCCTAGCCTCTCGCTGCCTGTAGCAGCCAAGCACAAAGAGCTTCACAGGTCACGTTTGGTGAGGTGCAGGTCATCGGAACAAGCACCGTGTTCCGCAGACTGGGTTGAAACACTGCGAGCGATAATGCAACGAGTGGTTCGCAGAGAGGGCAAGGCTCGAAGCTTGAGGGCCGACGAGTACGAGCTACACGCTCACGCTCAGCGCTCTACGCCATGGCAACGCTGAGTATGCCAGCCGTCAATAGATGGATTCGCTCGAGACCTTCTGAGCGCTGGACATGCCAGATGCTGAACACTGAACACGCCTGGCCCTAAACGCGGACGCTGCCAGATCTCCGACGCGGAGACCGCCGAACGCTTCACGCAGGGACTGCCAAATGTTGGACGCAGAGTCTGCCGAATGCTTTGTGCAGACACTGCCAGATCCCTTTCGCAGACACTGCCAGGCCCTGAACGCACAGGACTCAGGTGACGGCGGCACCCTTCACGCTCAATGTCAGACGCTGGACCTGCCAAACACCAAACGTTGGGCACGCCAGTCGCTGAACGCAGAGACGGCTAGATTTCCGATCTGCTCGTCGCTCCCCGCACAGTGCAGTTTGCTGAACGCGCTACGAGCTGGAAGGTGAGCACGCCAAACGCTTGATGCTGGGCACGCGTGATGCCGAACGCTGAACACGCCAGACTCGGTGACTTGAAAATGATGCATCACTCCTTCGCAGGACACAGATATTCCTTGCACAGGCAGTGAACACAGGCAGAGAACGAGAATGATTCAACAGTGCGGGTTTCCTAACAGACAATGCGAACCACAGTAACACGTACAGAGCCGACTTGTTAGGTCAGCCAAATCAACCCGACCACTCGATGGTCTTGAGGTCAATGCCCTCCTGCACCATCTCCCAAAGCGGGCTCATGTCGCGGAGCTTGTTGACCACCTTGATGATCTTGTCAGCAACGTAGTCGACCTCCTCCTCGGTCGTGAACCTGCCGATGCCGAATCGCAGCGACGAGTGGGCGTTCTCGTCGTCGAGGCCGAGTGCGCGAAGCACGTACGAGGGCTCGAGCGATGCTGAAGTGCAAGCCGAGCCAGACGAGAGGCAGATGTCCTTGAGGGCCATGAGCAGCGACTCGCCTTCGACGTACTGGAAGGTCAAGTTGAGGCAGCCTGGGTAGCCGTTCTGGTCACCGTTGAAGAGCACGTGGGTGATGTTGGCCTCGAGCTTGTTGCGCAGGCGCTCCGAGAGCTTCTTGATGTGCGCGTGGTCGTAAGCCAGCTCCTGCTTGGCGAGGCGAGCGGCTTCACCAAAACCAGCAATGAGTTGAGGAGCAAGGGTGCCCGAACGCAAACCACGCTCTTGGCCGCCGCCGTTGATGATCGGCTCGAGACGGACACGCGGGCGACGTCGGACGTAGCAGGCGCCGATGCCCATGGGACCGTAGAGCTTGTGGCTTGACAAACTCATGAGATCCACACCAAGCTCGTTGACATCCAGCGCAATCTTGCCAACAGCCTGGGCAGCGTCTGTGTGAAAAAAGGGCTTAGAGGCACCACGGCCACTCTGCTTGGCAAGCTCGACGCCTTTCGTCTTGAGAATGTGTCCGATCTCCTTGATGGGCTGGATAACGCCAATCTCGTTGTTGACCGTCATGATCGAAACGATTGAGGTGGTAGGTCGAAGTGCGTCTTCAAATTGCTTTAGATCGATGAGACCGTTGGGCTGGACTGGAAGGTAGGTGACCTCGAAACCTTCCTCCTGCAGACGGCGGCACGAATCGAGGACACACTTGTGCTCGGTCTGCGTGGTGATGATGTGATTCTTCTTGGACTTGTAGAAGTGGGCAACGCCTTTGATGGCCATGTTGTTGGACTCGGTGGCGCCCGAGGTGAAGATGATTTCCTTAGGATCGGCACCAATAAGGCTTGCAACGTTTTCTCGACCTTCTTCGACGCCCTTCTCAGACTCCCAGCCGTATGAGTGCGTCTTGCTATGCGGATTGCCCCACTGATTGGTCATGTAAGGCATCATCTTGTCGACGACACGAGGGTCGACTGGAGTAGTGGACTGGGCATCAAGATAGATAGGTCGGGTGGCCGTCGAGTGCTTAGGAGCAGCCGAAATGATATCGTCGAGGAGACCTTTTCCAGATCCTTGCTTGCTTCCGATGCCGGCTCGAATGTCGGGCTGGGCCACGTCGATCGGTGTTGCCATGGAGGCGGGTGAAGAAGGCGATGCATAACCGCGAGTGTGCACGCGCGGTGTGGGCGAAGACGACGCAGAAGTGGACGACGTAGAGGACGACGCTGCTGCTACCTTGACGTTGGTCGAGATGGATCGATTGTGCGCAGCATCGTGTCGTGTAAGCGCACGAAGGGCAAGCCTCGAAGGCGCTGAGGATCGCAAGGAGCTAGCCATGTTGTACTTTGTGGGTGTGTGCGAGTGAAGATGTCGCGTGAGGATGAATCGGTCGGAGTGTCAGAGAGACCGCAAGAGCGAGGAGGTACCAAAGAGGATCTTGCGGAGGTTGATCGCAGGTTAGGCGATGCGGCGATGGGGGTACTGCGGATGAGATGGTGGTGCGGGTAAAGATATGATGACGGCCACTAGGGAGACTATCAGGTGGCCGCCAAGGGAGTCCTTTGCTCAAGAGGCTGAGTAAAAGCCGCAAAGTGTGGCAATTTTTCGAAAATAGAGTACTGTTACATCGACCTTACTCGATCTGCTCTTCGCAGCCAGACTCGCACGAGTAAGCCTGCTCTGCGGATCCGCGAATTGAGAGGTTGAGATTGCGAGCGTGCCAGTTGACAGCCTCTGCCAAATGTTGTGTGCACTGACTGACACCATCTCCGCTCATCACCATCTAACTTGCTTGAGGTCACCAGCCACACCATTGCAGATCTCGTCACGATGCTTGCCGCTCGCCAAGCTACTGTCGCTGCTGCGCGTCGCGCGCTCCACACTTCCACCGTCGCTCGCACTTCAAACGGCTTCTTTGTCCGCCCGGCCAACGCTCCTACTTCCTCCAACTCTCCCGCAGCGCCTCAGCCCAAGCCGGTCCGCCCCGTGGCCCAGCCTCACACTCCCGCACACATTCCTGCCGAACAGTCGCCCAACTTCCCCACAACCTGGTCCGAGTCGCAGAACCCAAGGCAAAACGCCATGAAGGGTCCGCGCTTCGAGCAGCTCGATATGGCTTTCCAGCCGCAACCACTGGCGGCCATCGAGATGATCCAGAGGGAGCCCATTCGTCTCTCGAGCAAGCGCATCGCTGCGTGCGATGGTGGCGGAGGCCCTCTTGGCCACCCAAAGGTATTCATCAACCTCGACAAGCCAGGCCCGAAGCCCTGCCCGTATTGGTGAGTTTGCTGCATCACAACGAAGAGAATCCTTGTGGTGAGGCATGCAGTCAGCTGACCGACCCTCCGCTTTCTTCCTGTTCCGGTCTCCTAATCATACCTCAGCGGCATCCGATTCGAGCTCGACCACGCAGCACACCACTAGATGTACAAATTGGCTCTGCAATTCTTTCAAGACCTCGTGTCTATTCTCGTCTGTGACGCAACCTGAAGACGACGTGGATGGCGTTCGCCACAAAGCTTTTCGCCGCGTGAATCGCACAGGCGTTCGCTGATCGTTGATACAATGCAAGCACAACTAATCTCCTTTCCCATTCATGTGTCCGCTACGGTGCTCCGCTCAGGAAGCCTTTCAAGCCCTTCATGCCTTTGCTTCCGCTCTCCCCTTCGCCAGTCTTGCTCCGCGGTTCCACCTCGAGACTGCGATCGTACAGCCCGTCGTCGTCCCATACGGGCACGTCGACCACCAGCCTCTCCACAGGCCAGTTGGGTCGAATGTCCCGGTCGTACTGCTGGCACCTCGCTACGGCCATCACCGCCTCGTCCATGAGCGAAAACTTGCGCCAGTGGATCATACCATCTGCTCGCTTCGAAGGGTTGCCGTCCGAGATCGAGATGATGTCCTGCAGGTGCACACCAACGTACGGGATCGTGGGCCCGTCCGAGTTCTCTAGCGCCAACCGATACGCCGCACTAGACCGCTCGTTCGACATCAACCGAACGAGAGACGCATACGCCTTGTTGACGCTCTTGCCCTTGAGCAGCTCCCTCGTCTGCCGCAGACGATGCACGCTCGTCTTGCTCAGCCCGGCGAGGACGCTGTTGAGCGAGCCGTAGTTGTTGTTGTGCCGCAAGATCGAGGCGATGTTGAAGAACTTCTCCAGCATGCGGGCGCGGTGCTTCGTCTTGCCCTGCGCAAGGATCATCGAGCACACCCAGTTCGAGATGTAGTTAAAGTGCGAAATGGATCGGGCGACGGGACCGGAGCGTTCCGAATGGGGGACCAGGATGTGTCGCAGCAGATCGCGCGGCTGGATGGCGGTAAAGTAGGCCCATTCGAGGCGGGTGAGCTCGGTGGCGATGACTTCGTCCTCGACGTCCAGGAGCACGTTCGAGAGGCTGCGCAGCGTCGCTTTCTGATCTACGGTACGTACGACGGAACCTCCGGGGACATCGCCGGCTGGGACCGCCGCGCCCGGTGGCATCAAGCTCGAGCCATGCTTTTCGTCCCGGTGCAGAGCCTCGGATGCTTCCGTCGACGACGCGGTCAGATCAGAAGCGCTGCGCGATCGCATGCCAGCGCCCAGATCCGATCGCGTCGGCAGACTGCTCTCGGATCCGGTCCGCTCATGCTCCTCGATCCCATCGTCGCCCGACGGGGCGCTGCCGTGGCCGTCTCCAAAGCCATCAAAGTCGTGACTCGTATTGCCTGAGGAAGGCAGGAAGCCCGAGGTGCTGCCACTCGAATGACTCGCCTGCAGACCTGCGGACCCATCACCGTCCTGCTGCGCATTGCCTGCCATGGCTGCAATCGCTGCCGCGATCCCACCTTGGCGCGTCTTATCGCTGTGGACGCTCTTGCTCCATAGCGCATCCAGATCCGGCGCATTCGCCGTCGCTTCGACGGCCGCCTGGATCTGAATAGCCGTATGCACAGTATCCGCATTCTGCAGCAGCTGTCGATGGAATTGAACGAGCAGCGCGTGCGCCTCTGGCTGGCTCAGATCACCAGGGTAATCTTGTACCCAGTCGCCGAGCATGTTGATGAGTCGAAGCAATGCAAATCGATGCACGATGCCATCCGCCACATCTTCATCCGTCAGCGTGTCGAAGCGCGCCATCATCTGCTTGAGCAGGTCCATGGGCGTCGCAAAACCTCGGTAGAAGACCATGAACATGGAGACAAAGCGCTCATCGGTCCTCGAGATGGCCGCATGGAAGAGCTTGTCCCACAGCTCGTCGATCGAGACGTAGCCTCCGCTGTTACGTGCGTTCTGCAGACCAGCCTGCACTCGCTGGATCGTGTCGGCCGCCGCCGCCGCCTCCTCGTCCGCAGATTGAAAGGTGGGTGTCTCCGAGATGCCCGATGCTACCGTGGCGATGCTCATCTTGCGGTTGCCGCCACGCGCCAAGTAGCTCGCGTTTGGCACAGCGTGAGGCTGAGGCAGCATGGCTGACGAATCGGAAGACAGGTCCAGCTTGCTGATCGCCTCGGTGGCTCGCTCGACAACGGACGCTGAGCGACCCTCGTCTGTCGAAGCTTCGCTACCAGATGCAGGTCCACGGCCGTGGCTCGAGCTCGCATGGCCGTAGTCCTTCCCACGATGCGAGTCGACGGGCGTGGCAGGCGAGGCAAAGTCGCTGGATTGAGCCATGGTGGCATCGCCGCTCGTCGACATCGATTCGAGCATAGACGGAGGGAGGCTCTCTTGCGAGCTTGCCTGCGAGGTGCCGGAAGTACTTCGGCTCTGCACCACTGCTCCAGGATGCGGGGCTCCTGGTGATTGAGATCTCTGTGAGCTCATCACGGCAGAAGCGGGAGGCGCAGTGCTGTTCGTACCACGGCGTGGCCGACCGGATCGGGCCTTGGCCACCTCCTTGACCAAGTACGAAAAGCAATCGCGCATGCGCTTCTTGCCTTCATCGCTCTGCACAGTGCACTCGGCGAGACCGACGTTGTAGATACAGGCCATATCGCTGGCATAGTACGGATCGACGGCGCGAGGGTGGACCTCGGACTTGCACGCGAGCATCACGGTGCTCAGGTTGGCCACCGAGAAGTTTTCGAGCAGCTCGGACATGCCGCGGAACGACGCGATCTCGGATGCATCGTAGCAGAGGATGACGGCGTCGATGTTGGGAAGGAATTTGGGCCATGCAAAGCGTTTGCTTGGTCCGTTGAGGAGAACCGACGCATCGATCTCGAGCACCTCGATGGTTCGCTGCTCTTGGTCGACCACGCAGACAGTCGAGTGCGACGTCACCTTCTCGGAAAGGACATGCGGTTTCGAGAGACCGAATTGACGCAAACCCTTTTTGATCACGGTCGACTTGCCAGAGTGAGCATGTCCCACAACAGCAATGACGAAGCTGGCGTGTGACTTGGGCTGCGAGTTGACCTGCTGCAGGAGACTGGCACTGCTGCCGCTACGGCTGCGACCTCCTATGCTGGGACGACGGTCGGTGTTCTCGACGGCCAGCCTGTCGCCGCTGCTGCCGGCGTTGTCTCGCTCGGCGTTGGATGCGGAAGACGATCCACGACCCGCCCCGGTCGCACCCGGCGCTCTGAATGCAGAGGGAGCGTGCGTGTTCAAGGAGGATACGCGGCGGTCGACGTCCATGCTGTAGGCCTTGCGAGTATCGTCATTGTCTTCTGCTCCGGTCCGCGACTTGCGACGCGGCTCGGCGAGATCGAGGGGAAAGACTTCGTTCGACAAGAGCGACCTGGGCCTCGACTTGGTCGGCGTCTGAGCGGACGCGCCTCCACGCAGTGTACTTACCGAGCCAGGCACGGCGCCGACAGTGAATCCTCGAGGCCTGCCGGTGACAGGAGGCTTGCTGGCGGTGGAGCGAGAGGGGGATGCGGCTGCATTCGGAGACGCGGTGCTTGGTGGCCAAGTCTTAGCAGGTTTCGGCGTGGTATCGACGCTTTCCGAAGCGTCTCTGTCGCGCGGCTGAAGAGAGTCGCTTCGCTGTCGGATCATAGGGACAGGAAGAGTGGAGGACGATGCGGGACGACCGTCATCTGCTCGAGCGGTCGGGGCCGAAGGCTGCGAATTGCTCGTGACCGTTCCAGAACGAGGCAAGGAGCGCTGATGCTGGCTGTCGGCGGACGCAAGCTCTTGCTCGAGACTGTAGCTGCCTGACCGCGATCGCCCAGTACCAAATACATCGCTTTCTCCGTGCAAAACAGGTGCGATCGCAGCGTCACGCATCGAACTACCGCGCGCCGATCGCACGGGTGCTGCAGGTTCGCCCTGAGCGCCGCCTGGAGCTGTCGAGGCAGCGAGCGAAGGTGGAGGCGGGAGCGGTGCCTGAGGAGAGGGACGCGGCGGAGGCAGCTTGGAGCCGCGAAGCGAGCGAGCATGTGATGTGTGCGTGGGAGAGTGGATGGCTAGGTACGAGGCTGGAGTCGGGTAGCCAGGAGGCGTGGAGAAGCCGAGTCCGGTGGGAGACACGGGCGAGTCGCTCGAGTTTTGGGATGTCGAGGTGGAACGCGAAGGCGATGGACGCGTGCTTCCGGGCGTGTTGGAATCGGTTGCGAGGCTGCTCTGGCTGGCGGACGCGCTGACGTCGGACGTGCCAACCTGTTGTTGATGGAGAGCCGCAAAGCTTGGCGGTGGGTGGACATCAGCACCGTCGGGCAGCTCCTCTTCTGGCATCAGTGGGCTGAATTCGAGCCAAGGTCGAGTATCTTCGAAAGACGGAGGACGTGGCTTTTGTTGTTGCAGAGACCCACTCGAAGCTGGAATCGGACGGTCAGCTGCTGTGGATGGTATTGCTGCGGCGAGATGGGATTGGGCGTCGTGGTACGTTTCCGAGTTGGCACCGAGCTCGCCCGGACTGGGAGAGCGTGACACTGGATGCGTGTCAGGCGGCGCGAGTCTTGCCGAGGTCTCGGGTGCGCTCGCATCGTCATGAAGCTGCTCTTCGTCGAAGCCATCGGACGGAAGGGAAGATGAATCGGCCATATCGATTCCACCTGCACTGCGCCTCTTGGAGTTGCGTTTGCGCAGCTCCTCTTGAATCAAGCGATGACGCCTTCGAGCCCTACCGGTGTCCGCTTCCGTCACAGCAGGTCTGGACGCGTCGAGCCGGGACGCGGATGATGACGCTGGTGCGGGCGGCGGGGACGTCGTCGTTGAAAGCATCTCATTGGCAAGGGCATCGGTGGAGAGGCGGGATGTGGGCGTCGCTGACGAACGTGTCGATTGGGATGCGACGGTAGAGCTCGCGGAAGGCTTTCGTGCGAGCTCTGGTTGCGCAACGGGACCTGCAGAATCGCTTGTGTCGGTTTCTACCTTAGCCGCGAGGCGGACTGTGTCTGTATGTGAATTTGATCCGCTGACTCGTTGCGGCGAAGCGTTGGCACGCCAGGACGGGGAGGAACGATCCAGAGAAGAGGATGCGTTCGAAGTGGCCGCGGTCGGAGAGGCGCCAGACTGCGAGTATTGCTGGATTAGACGCTGAACACCGCTGAGACCGGCTGCACCGCTCGGACTCGCGTTCTGATGCGAAGGTTGCGAGCGCTGCGGTGATGTGGACGACGGCGGCGTCAATGAGCCTCGTTCGAGGGCATCGATGCGACGCGCTGCGGAAGGTGAGGCTGACGCGACTGGAGCTTGTGATGTGGATGCTGCTGCTGCTGCTGTGACTGCGGTGTTGAGCGATGAGGAGCTGCTCTTGCGCTGCCTTTCCCAGAAGGCGAAGGCGGGCTTCTTCTTGGCCACATGATTAGCGGGCTCCTCCATTGTGGAGAGATGTACAGCCTGAGAAAGGTTCTATGAGACGAGATAGAACTGCAGATTCAAGAAGAGCCGCTGCGGCGCAAGAAGCAGCTCTGAGAGACGAGACGAAGCACGACCAACGTTGACATGAGGAGGTGTCCTTGCTCTCACGTCGTTGAAGTTGGGATGCTGCCATACGACAAGAGGGAGCGAGAGAGCGTGCGCGCAAAAGAAGATGACCGAAAGATCTCTTGATGAAGTGACGCTGCGCTGGTCCAGGCGAACGGGACAATGAATGGCAGCAGGGGTATGGTGGGCGAATCGTGCTGCAGCTGCGTATCGTCTGTGTACTCGTGTCGTCGTGGTTCTAAGGGTAGGAGTGATGTATGTAGGAACATTCGCTCGCTTGCTGGTTCGTCTGATCTGCGCGGATGGTGGGATGCGATTCCAGGGTGGAGCGGATGATCTAGGCGAGCGGATCGGAGATGGATGCAGTGCGCATGTATGGATGCTGATGGATGCTCCGCAACGGGCAAAGGGTGGGAATGTCGTGGATGAAAGGCGACGAACAAGGCGTGATCGCGGCTAGCGGAGCTTCCTGTCCCTCAGTGTGCTGATCAGCTGGCTCGTCGCGGTGTTGCAATGTTGCAAAGTGCGGTGCTGTGCTGTGTGATATTTCTGAAAGGGCGTGG